GCTTAACGATTAGCTTTATAATTTTAATTAAATTTAAAATAAAGAATAAATAAGAATGATTAAACTTTAAGTCAATCAACATTAAACTAAAATCGCAAGCCTCCTTAATATTTAATTATTAAAAGAGCCGGAGGGAAGATATATGTATATATGTACATATATAATAATAGCAATAAAACATTCGCATCACACTGAGCAAAGTGGAAGAGTATATCTAAAAATGCACACACACACACACACACACACACACACACACACACACACACACACACACACCACATACATATACATATATTAGCTACAGATTACTGTAGAATTTTAAAATTGAAATTGATCAATGGTGCATGGAAACAAAAGTGTTTGTGAGAGAAATCGCTTTATAGCTAAAATTGTGTTATGGCTAAGACGAATGCATCAATACGATCGCCAGCAAATATTACATCGCGTTGTCCAACGATTTGTTTCAGTTGTCAAGAGTTATCTACGATCCGCACGGATATGGACCGGTGATGACTTTTTGATAGATCGCCCATTCGCGTATAGCATCATCAAATATGTCGCAAACACGGAAACAAATTCGTTTAACAAAATCCCCATTTTCTTTGGACAATGCGTGCAGCCTGAAATTTGAAGAGGCGAGAGATCGGCAAGGGAAAGCTGCCTGGCCGTTCACTTAGTAGCAAAGTCCACTGTAAAAACATCATAATTAGTTAATGTACATTGCGTCGTTTATTTTATATATATGCATACGATGATGCGCATTATTCCTGTATTCCGATATAATTTCGTGTGAAACTGTTGCTGGAAAAAAGAGAATCAATAATGAGACAATCAATAATTTGTATGCCATCATTTTCATACTTGAAGACATCTCCCAAGAGTCTTCTAATGAAAGGAAATTAACTTCATTGAATTAATTATAAAAATAATCGCATTTCATCGCCGGAAACACTGGTTCATTTCACACGACATCTCGTTATCATTATCAAATGATACATCGACGCAGTTCATGTGTATAACAATTTTGCATGTGAAGCAGCAAGACTTCGTAAAGTATTACGAGGCGACAGCTAAGTCAATAATGGAAGATTTTACATTTTATAAATGAATGATTGTTTCAGCAGTCATAATGGTGGGATTTTCAGCTGTAGCAATCCCCATACCTCCGCTGGAATTTAAAGTAGATCGTCCATTTCTTTATAGCATCGTCAAATCGGACCCCGAAAATAACGTCGTAAATCTATTTGCTGGATATATCGCCGAACCCACTACGTGATTTGCAGATGTTTAAAGCGGTGTTTATTTAAAAAATATGAAACTCTTGATACAACTCTATAGCAGTGAAATATGTAGAAAACATAAACATATATGTATCGACCTGAATGATAATAAACAACAGCAATGCCTGTGTGCAAGCAATTCGAGCTATGTTGTTTGTATTTAATCACGTATATATGTATATAAGATGTCCCATTTTATATTTGACCGTCAAATATTTAGAAATCGCAGGGTTTTAGAAAAAAATGTATCAGTCAAAAGTTATAAGATTTTGAGGGGGGTGTATTTTGGTCAAGTTGCTTTTTTTCTAGGTGATAGGGCTAGAAAGATATGAAACTTTCTTAGATATGTCACCTCCATTTTTTTTAATGGGTGAATTTTTTTTTAATAATATACCTCCAATTATTTTGCATATAAAAGTATTAAATATATAGTTATCGAAAAATACCTTACGAGATATTAAATGCTTTATCGTGCCATATTTTAACATGAAGTATGAAATATCTTGTAAACTATTGATTTCTTAAATTGTATCTTATACTTTTACTTTGCAAAAAATACGCAATTTTTACATTTCGATTGTTTCAGCATTCGTGGGGTTATTTGCGGGACCTAGTCGACCTCGCATACCTTCGCCGATATTTAAAGTAGATCGTCCATTCTTTTATAGCATCGTTAAATCAGATCTCGCAAATAATATCATAAATATATTCGTTGGATCTATCGTCAGACCCACTAAGTGATTTATAAACGTTTAAAAAAGTATTTCCATTTTTTTTCTAAAAAAGGTCTGTTAAATCGAATCTATCGAAGTTTATTTGTTGTCGCTTTTTTGCTAATTGGTTCTCGAATCTTACTGTGCTTACTTCGGCTGTCATTGCACATTTTGACAGTTGTTATGTATAGAGGTTAACAGTGTAATAGTAAATAGTAAAAAATATGAAATAGCGCGCGTGAAGCGCGTGCCTGTAATGCTAGTATTTGAAAAATGTGAAACTTGATACAAATCTATAATAGTGAAATATGTAGAAATATAAACATATATAACATATGTATTTGAATGATAATAAATAATAGCAATGTCTATGTGCGATTCGAGCTATATTGTTCTTATTTAATCACGTATATATGTATATATATATATATATATATATACAGTAAACTGTGCGAGTCATCGCATATTTTGCTTTTTTAGCAGATTTTCGCTAATAAATGTTTAACAATTTTACAAGCGTTCCTATCAGAAAGAAATATCTATAATTATTCAAAAAATATACTATACCCAAAAATTTTACCTATGTATATATATACGTATTTTATATGTGTATATTTTATATGTGTATATATGTATATATGTATATATGTACACATATAAAATATACACATATAAAATACGTATATATATACATATATAAAATTTTTGGGTATAGTATATTTTTTGAATAATTATAGATATTTCTTTCTGATAGGAACGCTTGTAAAATTGTTAAACATTTATTAGCGAAAATCTGCTAAAAAAGCAAAATATGCGATGACTCGCACAGTTTACTCAATGACACTAATAAAACTATAAGACGGAGATGAAAATTAAACGGTAAATTAAACAATATTAAAAACGCAGGTGTCTCGCGATTATCGAACTTATTGCCCCATACATTTCAGTTTAATCCTATAATTCTTTATAATTTTTTAACTTTCTTGTATAAAGAATCCTTCTATCTCTTTAATTGTCTTTACAAAATATACTAACTTTACAAATAAAACGCAGCATGCAGCATGAGAGCAATATTTACATGCGACAGGAACCAAAAGCGTGCTTAAGCATGATTGGTATACAGGGCGTCGCAAAATTAAAGTGAAAGTGAAGCTTTTTACGAGGAATCGATAATTTGATTTTTTCAGAAGTCGAGGGTGTAAATTATTCTCTTGTTATCAACCCGACGCCCCCTGAAGAGATTCATATCGATCATCCATTCTTCTATGGCATTATTAATTCGAAATCGGAAGAGGAATCATATATACCGCTGTTCACCGGATACATCACTGAATTAAAATAGTCCGACGATTTAGAAATAAAATTAACATACTGATATAATCAATGAAGTTATGAACGATTACGGTTGGCGATGCAACGATCACTGATGTTTTTTGTATGTGGAAAAAAATTACGTTGAAATTTGTAATAATCGTCGCAATTATTTCACTTTTGATATAAGTAGGCTTTTCAAGTTTGTATCTCAATATTTCGTTTCAGCGAATTAATAAAAGAATATTGAAATTCGTGTTTTTTTAATGCTAATTAAAACAACCCGAGCACGCAATGGTTGCGTAACGGAAGCTTATGTAAAATATAAACGACATAATATTGAATCTCATCTTAAAAAATATAAAGGATTGCAGAATCGTAAGACTAATCATAATTTAGATTTCGATACATTTTTTCGCGATTTCTTCCACATGACATCATCACTGTACTAATTTTTATCTCACTTAAAACATATTTTTGAACATTCAGTTAATTCGAACGGCAAAAATCTCCAAGTCTACGAATACAATTGCTTCAGAGAGATGAATAATTTTACACGGCTGTTATACGCGAATATAAAAAAATGATTTCTTATTACTGTTAACGGTGTAAGACTTGAGATATTGCAAGTGACAGAACTACGATTCTGTTATGAAGTAATGTACATCCTGAGAAGGAAGAGGTGAAGCAACTTTTTTACAATTGCTACGAAATCGTTGATCGACGATTAACCTAATTATCAATTACGACAATCTACGACCTGCACTTGTCGCTCTGGCAAAAACACTTGGCTTTTTTTTTGTAGCTTATACTGTGTTTCACTTGAGTTGTATTTAACGCACTATGCCTTATACATGTTGTGTTTATCTCATATGAAGTATTAAAATAATGTTAATGTGTATGTCTTTTTTTTGAGATTATTATTAGCGAAAAAAGTCATTTATAATAAATATATTACCTATCTGTAATAAAATAATATTTAATATACAGCATTAAATATCAAAATATTAAATATTAGAGGAGAGATATGTCGATTTCGTCTATGGATAAAGGAGTCTCGCAAATTTAACGATTTCTTCGATGCTTTATAATGATTATGTTGCAGGTATTTCGATACAAGCATTTTCTCTGTCTTTCGAGGAGGAATTTGAAGTAGATCGTCCATTTTTCTACTCTATAATAAATTCATCGAATAAAGAAAGCGTGATACCGCTTTTCTCTGGATACGTTACTAAACCTGAAAACTAAAGAATCTCCCAAGGATCTGTTAGAATTTGAACTACCTCACTAACAAAGAATGAAAAATAAGATTACAAAAAAAAAATACGTATTTATATAAGAAATATAATTGTGCAACTTGGTAAATTTTTATGCACGCATATATAATATTTATCGCATATTTTTATAACATATATTATTTGTTATTATTGCTGTATATTATGTAAACAAAATAGAAATTTAATGAATAAAAATACTAACATCAATATGGCATAAATAATCATTAGTCATTATTGAAAAATCAATCCTTTCATTGTAATGATTTTTTTATTTGATAAAATTTCAGTCATACACCACCGTTATTGTTTACGAAAAAATTTTATTACTGCAAATTTTTATTTTTAAAATCTAAAAGAAATTTAAAATTTCTTGATTAATGGTTATATATAATAATATATATGAGGAATGTACGAGTTGGTAAGTATAGATGGTATGTTTTATTAATAATAAGACACTTTATAAATGAAATTCAATTGGCACATCGCCAGTTTGGGACATGGAAACATGAAGATGATGAACACTTTTATTTCCCTTACCTAGAATTTTTGCGATCTATGTCGCAGAATAACAAAATCGTAATATATATCTAATATATATATATATCTAAATTTATTCGGGTCATGGTATAAAAATACGAGATTGCTCCCCAATAAGAATTCTATCCATCTAAGGATATAAGTAATAAGTTCCCTTTCTTGAATCTTGCGCGATACTTACGGAATTGCTTAATCGATGAATTTGCTCATAATTATGCATACTATATGAATAGCAAGCGTATAAACTATATAACACAAGAGCGATAAACATTGTATAATAAGATCTAAACAATGAAAACAATCGACATAAAAGAAGTCTCAACAGATACCATTGCACTGTATACTCGATTCAAATCATTAGTATGCGTATAACGCATTTCTACGGAATGTGTTATTCCCCAAAAATCTATATGGTAATAACATAATCACTAATTGTATAGTTACGAAATTAGTAATATAGAAGACGGATTATCAATAAGATCTAAATTAATCCTTAAGTACTCGCATTGAATATATTCAACAACTAATTTTTATATGTCTTTCTACCTCTTTATAAAGAACAATGAAAAATACCTGAGTGTATTATCAAAATTTTTTGATTTCTGAGAGATTCGATATTAAGTTTGCTTGGAAAAAGATGTATCGTTAATATGCAGCTTTCTGCTCGCTAGTATTTAAGGATTAAACATTAAGTCATATCGCTAACTTAAGCTTTTATCTCTGCGATAAACTGCTATAAGGCGATTATCAAAATATCGATTATCAGATCGAAAAACAATTAAGTGTGTCATAAAGTAACAAGTGATGAGGAACCTGGCGCATACAATTGAGCAATTATAAGGAAGACTGATCGCGCAAGTGAAAAAGAATATAAAAAATATGTTTCTTTTTTTTTCTCGTCTTTCCCTGCGCTTAACTTATTCTACAGTGATTAAGTGCTGCCTTGCCAAGTTTCACCGAATGAGCAGTCTCCGTCGACGCTGTGCCGTTTGATGTCAATGAGCCTCTGCGAGCCATCACGCCAGGATGCATACTAGTGGAAGTGTCGAGATACTCGTCATCGTTGTCAGAGTCCGTGTCCTTGTCTTTCGTTGACTTCTTCGCCATCAGGTCGTTCACGTAACGCTCTATCAGATTGCGGTTGTGCGCGCTTATTGCACTGTTACCGTTACTCACTACGAAAGGCAGTAGTGCCTCGGCCATCTCGGTATTTTGACGCTCGATATACATGCGCTGCAGCTCGGCCAATGCGTCGTCCATGAAGCGAACATTGTTCTTGCGATCGGTCGGCGGATTGTCGACAAATCCCAGTCCTCTAGATGCTCCGCCGTTCGTCTGCCTCGGTAGAGTTGCGCTTTTTTGATCGTTGGCGATTAACATAGTGGTGGTGAAGCCCATCGGGAACTTGGGTTGACGCAGATCATTTGCCAATGGTCTACCGTCAGAAGCTGCTTCATTATGGCTGCCTTGCTTCTGTTGCGCCACGTTGTAACCCTTGAATCCTTGCGGCCCATCAGGCGGCGGAGGCGCGTTCGCTTTCGGGGCGGTGAAAGTTGCGTTGTACTCGACGTCCTGGGCGTTTTTATTTACCATTGGAATTGCAGGACGGGCTAATTCTGCTGCTAAATTCTGCTGTTGACTCGGCGGAGCGGAATGTCGCCATCTCGCGCTATTCATCACGAGCCGCGCGAGCTGCTGAATGGTCTGCTTCCCGGCCTCGTTGTTGGCGTTCTCGGCGATATTGAGCGGCAACTTTGCCGGGGTCGACGTGTCGCACGGCTCGCAGCCCAGATAGTCGCGTCGGATCGCCGCGGCGTTCAACTGGCGCATTCGCTCGTAGCTCTCACCCTGCCCGGCCAGAAGATTATCCCGTCGCGCGTACTTGAGTATCTCCTTCCGCGAATTCCAGGTGCCGTGATAAGGCGGATCTTGCTCGTAGACGCGACACTCGGTGTCCAAGAAAGCCGCGGTCAGTATTATGATGGCGGTGGGCTCTCGCTGCGTGAACAGCTTCCTGCGCGCGGTCAACATCTGACCCATGTACATTTCCACCCGCGCGTTTTCTATCTTCTCCTCGAGTTCCCGCTCCGACTGCAGCAGCTTCGCCGTCTCGTAGATCAAGCTTCGCACGTTCACACACAGTCCGCCCATCTCCCTAGCGATGCGCCTTTCCGCCGACGATTTCGTGCGCGCGTCATTGTTGAAGACAGGCTGGAGACCGAGCCGTTGCTGGGCCTTCACGAACGGCGAGGTGGATACCGGGCCCAATTTCGACCATATCGTGCCGAGCTTTCTGCCGCCCGGGCTGGTAATCGGCGACACGATGCCAGGTCTGGTCAGAATGGGATTCTGATTGATTAGCTCGATGTTTGAATTCGGTATTGTGCAAGGAACGCGGCAGGGCTTCGGAGGAACCAGATCCAATTTAGGCGGAATCATTCCTGGCTTCGGTGGCGGAAGGAGAGAAGTGATCGCGGTTTCCGGCATCGGCGGTGGCGTCGACGGTGACGGGGGCGTTTCGTTCTTGTTGAGTACCGTGGCGTGAACGACGTCCAACAGATGATCCAATCTGTTCTCGAGTCTGTTCTGCCGGTCTCTGTCAACGTCGAGGAATCGCGTCACCATGTCGTTTTGCGCAGACAAGATCTGAAAAATTGAAGTAACGTAAAAGATACATCATTTGGAAGTACAAAATGTTATATTACGTAAGCAATAAAAAAGGGAGAAGAAAAAATAAAATAACAATAAAAGAAATGTAATAAAGTTTGATAAAAAGAAAAAAAAATAACAAGAAAAGAAATAAAGTTTGAAAAAAAAGGAAGCATTTGTAAGAATACAATAGTCTACCTTATTGACGACTTCGTTTTGAGAATTAATCGCGTTGAGCATAAGCTGCTCCAATTTCTGCGCCTTCTTCTTCCTGAACGGTGCGCTCGGCATCTCATCCGTATTCACGGCACTATCCCGCGACTTTCCACCGTTCTCCGATGGAGTGGGCGAATCCAACAAGAATTCCAGCAGCAAAGTCTCGTCGTTACAGGTCGCGTTATTCGTCATGACAGTCGCATCCGCGGGTCGGCTGTACGTCTCGTTTAAGTTGTGCGTCTTGTCGTCGCTCTTCGACAGGCAGAAGGCGTCGTTCAAGTTCTGCGATACGTCCGGCGAGTAGTCCGGCGACAGCGATCCGTTTGGCATGACGTTCGTCATGCAGGTCAGACGAGGCCCGATGTCTTGATACTGCCTGTATGTAGGCAGGTTTTGTGCGTAGACAACCTTACGCGGCTCCTGCGGCATCGCTTGATTATCCGCGTTATTTCGCTGCAACTGATTCTGCTGACGCATGATATTCTCCACATTAGGATTCTTCATCACATTTTGCGTTATTCTGTTCGACAGGTACTGCTGGTTCTGATTGTGCACGTTCTGCTGGAAGCCGAGACGATTGTTCGCCGGCATACCGCTCTGCTGCGGCAACTGATTCCATCCGGTGTAATTTTGCTGCTGGGTATTCTGATATTGCTGCATGTTCTCCTGAATGATCTGATTCTGCACGTTCTGCACCGCGTTCTGGTACGGGATCTCCCCGTACGGAAAGGAAGCCAGTACATTCTGCCGATATTCCTCCCGTATCGGCCTCTCTATTGGATTTATCTGCACCGCTCGATTGCCAATCTGAGCGAAACGCTCGCCGGTATTTATGCCGACGTCTCTCGTAGGGGAGAAGATTCTGTACGGCTTGGCTATTATGGTCTCGTTTGACTCGGGTGAATCTGGATACTCATTTTCGTCTGCGAAGAAGAAAAAGTCATGAAATCATTAGATAGAGAAGATTCTCCACGCTAAAATAAAATGCCTTACATCCCGTCGTCCACGTGGGGGAGAGAGCGTCCGTTCGAAAGAGAGATTGCACAGGCTCCTGAACTTTCAGTCTCATCTGCAGATTCTTGTTGGTCTTTACATCCTTTGGCGGTGACTTCACAGCATCTAAAAACAATCAAGAAGTAGTATTAATTCAAAAGTAATCTTAATCAAAAGTAATCTCTCATCAAAAAGTAATATTACTCTTTACACATTGATCCCTACATTTTGAGACAATACAATCCTTGAAGAACAAATATCTAGGGGACACGTCAATCTATTGAATGTCTTTTAGATATTTTTAATAATTTTGTTTCAAATTGTCCCACGACCAGAAGGTGCTTTGCACTCACCCACAGTATCCACGCCGTTGATGTTGACATGGTGATGATCCAGACGCTTGCTCTGCAGCACGCGATCGATGGTCTCGTAGTACTGTTCCACCCCGGCGCGGGTGCCCGCCCGCTTGGCCTCGCGATAGCACACCAGGACCTGCTTTATGCGCGACCGGCACTGCTTGCCCGTTACGTTGTAACCCTTCTTCTTCATGTAGCGGGCGACATTCTCCCAAATTACCTGCGGCCGCGGAGCATACTCGAGCTGCTTCTGCACCTGCCGGTCCGACCACACCGAGACGAGCAGCGCGGTGCTCTCGGGCGTCCACTTGTACTTGACGCTGTCCCCGCTCGTCTCCGACATCGCTCCGGATGTTCGTCCGCGCTGCAACGCGAGATAAATCAGAGTCGCGAAAAGATCGTCTCCCATTCCCCCCTTCCCCCTTCCTCGGGTTAGCTTATCGGCGGTGTGCGTGTCGCGTTGTGTCCCTCGGACTCACCTCACGCCACGACGATCCTCGTGGAGACCTCAACTAGGTTGTCGCCAGGAGCGCGCGCTCCCGATCGTCGTCGCGATCCCGAATTCGCGGGCGGGTTCGCCTCGCGCACGCGATTGCCCAACCGGCCCAACCGGATTTCTTTAACGGATGCGCACTTGCGCCGCCCGCACGGAGACGGAGTATCGTCGCGGCGGCCTCGGTAACCGACAGTGATTCAAATTTTAAAGGGACAGCGACCAGTACGCGGGGGCCTGCGTGGTAGTGGGAGGAGATGCAGCGCGGCAGGAGCGGGCTCATCCGCGTGGAGTCGCGAGCGCGACGACGCCGGGCCTCTCCACCACGAGAGGCCAAGCGAGACTGGACTGAAATGTCTTGCGTGACTTGCCCCGTTACGATTCTCGCAATTCCGTTTTACTTGTAGGCCACGCGCTGTCGCAACGCGTATCTGTCATAGCGTTTAGATGAAATAGCCTGAATCGTCCTCCTGTTCCATTCGTAAATCACAGTGTAAACGAATTCGGCTATTTAAGCTCGGCCTACATTTCACTTTTCGGGAATCAAATCATTATACTGCTTCGCATCACGTAATTGGGCGAGTTTCACAGCTGCGAACGCCATGAGCATACCTGTTAAATTACTTATTTTCGGAGACAAAATAAAATCGTCAAATGACGAGAATTAAATCCGTCACTGCGCGATGCCGTGGGATCTTCGAGACGTTCAGTGGGGGTTCGTGAACACAAAGTGAGAGTGAGCAAGAGTTAAGTGAAAGCGGAGGCAATAAGCGAGATGAAGTGAAACTGTATGTATGTGCCATATTAACTACACACATACATGTTTACATGACACGAGCGGTGCGCACGCGCGTCTATCGCTCCCTTCGCGCTTGACTGGGACGCTGGAACGTGGCTTTAATGACGCGGTGCAACAGGTGGTGCGACAGGTGCTACTATACACGTAGGGTGCCGTCCCATGGCAGAGACATATGGAAATAAATTTTGCGTAACAGAAAACGCGTAACGCTTCCGATTGGTCGTGCGATACGCGTTACATGAAAAATCTCTGCCATGAGACGGCACCCTAAGTGAGGTTCGAATCTTCGCTAAGTGGGGTTTGAGTCTCCGCTAAGTGGGATTCGAAATTATATAAGTGCAGCGGGAGAATAAATTCAATAAATCTCCGCTAAAATGTGGTTTGAGTCTCCGCTAAGTGGGGTTTGAGTCTTCGCTAAGTGGGGTTCGAGTCTCCGCTAAATTCATGTTTTATTCAGAGGAGCAGGCTCAAATCCCACTTAGCGGAGACTCAAACCTTACTTAGCGAAGATTCGAACCTCACTAAACGCACGAAGCGAAGTCGACCAATCAGCGGGCGGGCCGCCGGGAGACGCGTTTAGGAACCAACGCATGCACGTTCACGTTCAAGGACATCGGTCGGCTTCTCGAAAAGAAGAGAAGGGACAGTCGTCGTCAGTCAACGGTCTGGCGGGAACGAAGTGAATGAACGGTCAGGAACTTGTCGGAACGAGGAAACGATCTTCACACGGGTTTCGATCGTTTTTAGCGTCCGGCGTAGGACGGTAGGAGATCATCGATTGACGCGGAGCGACGGATACGCTTGGCGTGCGCTCTCTCCAACGGCGATTCCGCATTGAAGTGCACCACGGCGGAATCACGTGAGGACGGCGTCGATTTTTACGGCGGCGATTAGGATTTGAACAGCGGGATTGCGGTCGCACTTTGTTTAAATGCACCGTCGATTAACGCCGCGGGAAGCATGGCAAGCGACGCGACCCGAAGGAGGAAAGCGACGGAGAAGTCCGACGAGCATCAGGCCAAGCGTTCCAGGAACACTGAGGATAATGACACGGTGCAGAGCCAGCAGAGGCAGCAGAGCGAGGAGGTACTTTGCGGCACTACCTAGTCGGCATCGATAACAATTGCCTCCAGCTCGTCAGAGAGCGTAAAATTGATTGAACATTAAACGTCGAGACAATTAAATTTTACTGCAAATGAGAATGAAATTCTCGTTAGAGATGATTATTGTAGATTTATTTGTATTATTGAGAAGGTTATAACAGTCTGAAGTCGAGGTTCATCGCCTGGCCTTGTGTGTCAAATTGATAATTTTTCTATAAACGAGTCAATCAATTTTTGCTCAGAATCATTGGAGTCTCTGGAAACATCTTAAATACATTTAATAAATCACTGTCACATTTGTTACAGTTTACAGCTGGAAAGGTGAAAAAGATTCGTCTTCATAACTTCATGTGTCACGATGCGCTGGAAATAACACTGAACGAGAATGTTAACTTCATCGTGGGCCGCAATGGTAGCGGCAAGAGTGCCATATTAACCGCACTGACTGTAGGACTTGGTGCTAGGGCGAATGTTACGAGCCGGGGGACCTCTGTTAAAGGTATTGTTACATTATAATTTATTATTTTTTTATTGTCCCAAATCCTACAAAACACATTAATAGTATATGGATTGCCTGCTCTGACATTTTAGAGTTTATAAAGAAGGGCAGGAACTCTGCTATGGTCGAGATAACGTTAGTGAATAAAGGAGACACCGCTTACAAGCCTGAGATTTATGGCGATACAATTACAGTTGTGCGCAACATTGGAACTACTTCGTCGTACAAGATAAAAAATTGGCGAGGTACTTGGAATATATGAATTTCATTTTTAACAAATCCATGTGATTGTAATAGCATTAGAAGTGCTTACAGAAAGTTATCATTTTCAGGAGAAATAATTTCTACAAAACGAGATGAGTTGGACAACATCATAACAATTATGAATATACAGATTGATAATCCAATATCTGTATTGAATCAGGACGTTTCAAGAACGTTTTTAGTTACCTCTAAGCCCGAAGAAAAGTACAATTTATTTATGAAAGCTACTCTCTTAGATTCCATTGAAAATAATTATAAAGAGGCACTCGACATATGTAAAGAAGAAAACATCAAATTGACACAATATTCTGCGGTATGTATACTCTCGCAGTATCCTGTATTTTATTTTATTGTAGATTATTCTCATTTGTGGGTTATCTTTCAGACCTTATCACAAGTAAAGGAAGAAATACAAAAATTGGAGGAAAGTATACATAGATTAGAGGAAATGGATGAATCACGAGAAGAATTAAGTAATCTCGAAAAAGAACTTCAGTGGGCTAAGGTGAGTCTTAGATCGAAGAAAATAGAAATTTCCAAAGTAATTTTGAAGTAGAATAATGATTTCGTATTATTTAGGCGATTGCAGAGGAAATTAAGCTTCTTAAAATACAAGAAAGCTTAAAAATGTATGAAAATAATTTGAAAAAGATTCAAGATGTGGAAATGTCTACGGAAACAAAGGACCAAGAAATTGATAAAAAAATCGAGTAAGAATTAATTTGCTAATAAAAGTACTATGAAATAAAATTAATTGTATCTATTTTCTAAAGCTGACGTGTATTGATATTATTAATTTTTAAATATTTATTAGTATAATTATAATTTTATTATAAAAGCTATGAATTCTTGTATCTTGTATCGCGTTTTTTTTATCTTACAGGGAAACAAAGGAAAAAATTCGGCAAGCAGAACAGGAAGTAATAGATAGCAGCGAAGCTTACAATAGTGCAAAAGAAAAATATAAGACTGCAAATGAGGCGTATTCAAATAAACAGCGCGAATGGCGGTCTTCAGCGAGTAAGATGAAACGATTCGAAGATGATATTAATTTGTTGAAGAAGGAAATTCAAAAGTTGGAGAAGTAAGAGTGTATTTCTATAATACTGTTTATATATATTTTTGTAAGTTTATGATATTAATATATGTTACACATATCTTTTACAGCTGCAACGACGAAGAACATAACAAGAGAAAAGAAACAAAGGAGCGCCTATCGAAGTTAGAAGAAAAACTGGATGAACTCGATGCCTCGTTACGCACTAAGCAAACCGAATTGATGCATTTGGAGGCCGATAAGATGCGACTTTCGCAAGAAGTGCAATCCGCCAAAAATGAAGTGGAGAATTTTAATAGACACATATGTGAGTCATATCAATGACAAAATTAGTAACAATAGTGTACTGATATAATTAGTTTGTGTTAAAAAAATCTATTTTATTAAATTTTTAAAGACAAGATCAAAAAGAACTTGAGCGCAGTCGAGCAACAATCGGATAATGCATTGAGTGTATTTGGGTCAAACATGCCGCGTCTATTGAAGAGAATTGAGGAGGAATATAGGAAAAAGCGATTCAAGGAAAAACCACGCGGTCCTATTGGTATGTAAAATCATTTTAAAATTAATTACTGCGAAATTAGTAATTTTACTTCATATTAATTTACGTTGTTATGTAGGAGCTTTCATAAAATTGAAGGATGCCGCTTGGGCACCGGCAGTAGAAAACTTTCTGGGTTATCACACCCTCAGCTCGTTCTGCGTGGATAATAGTCAAGATGCCAAATTGTTGAACAGTATTATGAAGGAAATTTTCTACAACGAAAAAACTCTTCAAATAATAGCTAGCAAATTCTTTAATCAGGTAACAAAATATAATCTTTATTATTTTGAAATTGAAATATTAAGAATAGCAATTACAATATATATATATTGCTTGTTACACTTATTTATTTGTCTTATTTGAGAAATTTCAAAATAGAAATATTTATAAAAATATACATATATATATATATAATAAACAAGTGTAACAAGTAGCAATTACAATGCTAATTTTAACTTTCATTATAATATATGCCTAACCAAATCTTAAATTTTAGGTGCATGATGTTAGTCGCCACTGCACACATTCTCCACAATATTCCAATCTCTTAGAAGCAATGGTTATAGAAGATCCTGTTGTAGCCAATTGCTTAATCGATCAGCGCGAAATTGAATGTATACTTCTTATACCAACAAATGATGAAGCCTGCACGATAATGTCGGACGCGATCAAAGTGCCGAGAAATTGCAAAAGAGCATTTACCCTAAATGGCGACACATTCTATCCCGATCCAAATTACAGAACTTATGGCGGAAAGTGCGGACGCGCTAAATATCTTCAAGTTTCTACTATGGAAGCGATGCAGTGAGTGCAACAATTTAATCTAATTTGGAGTAGTAAACTCTACTCGCTAATTTCATGCTGTACAGTCGTAGACATATCGGTTGCGACACTTTTTTTAGGTTTCGAAACGCACTAATATTTTGCAAATGCGAACCACAATTGGTGTACTGTCTCTAGACTAAAGATAGTACACCATCGTGGTTTGCATTTGCAAAATATTAGTTACCTATAAAATATATATTATATATATTAAATATATACTGAAAGACCTATGAAAAAGTGTCGCAACCGATATGTACACATAAAAGAAAATTTAATGGCACACATTAATGATTTGTATTAATTTCTCATTTTAGAACGTTGAAGGAAGAACTTCAGGTAGCGGAGAACAAAAAGCAGGAGGCCGTAGCAGTATATAACGCTGTATGTGATAAAGTGAATCGCACGTGTTCCGAATTGAAAAACGTGAACACAACGATCAATAAGCTGAGATCCGCGCAAAGTGAATGTACTAATACAATTAATGAACTGAAAGATAAAATCGAGGCGAATGAAGCTACGTCTGCTGACGTATTCGTGAGTAATTAAAATTTTCTCTGAAGTACTACTGTTCTCTTAATCAAAACAATATATGGCTGCAGTGTTTAATTTATTATTTATAGCGAAACGAAGCCGCGGAATTGGAAAAGAAATTAGCGCAGGAAAGTGCTGTGGCGAAGCTTTTAGCTGAGAATGTGCAAGAACTTCAAAAGAACGTTACGTCTCTCGACACGGAAGTTAAGCGTTGCAGGGACTTGAGGCACAATTTACACATAGTGATTGATCCTCTCAAAGTATGTTTACATTATTCATCAGTAGAAAGTGTTATTAATATTGATAGAATAATATTTTATATATTTTTTAATGCAGGATCAAATAAGAGAATTGACTCGGGAGAAGGAAAGGCATCGACATGAGTGTCAGCGTGCTACTCGAAAGTTGCAAGAAATTCGTCAAGCTATACAATGCACAGCGGGGGAATTCGAAATACAGGAGAGAGCTACAAAGCAAGCGGTTTCCAACGCCACTGAAAAGTGTCCCGAAAGGATAAGCACTACCAGGTTAGCTGTCTTGTTAGTTACAAGATGATGTAACATTATGTGTAACCAAAATTATTCGTTTATTATTTCAAAAGTCTAAATTCTTAATTTTTACTTATATTTTATTTATTTATCCTTATCTTTACCTTTGATATCTTATCTTTTACAGATCAATAAACCAAATTAAAACTTCACTGAATGATTTACGAGATAAGATTCGCGAAATAGAAAACCAGTACGGTTGCGTGGATGAGTTACGGCTACAACTGAAGGAAAAACAGGAAAAGTTTGGAGTGAACATTGAGTTTGCAGCTCAGTTGAGACAGAGTTGTGAGGTTAGAAAATTATCTTTATAAGATAATTTTTAAATTATCTTTATTGTGTGATTATTTTATACTCGAGGGAACATTTACAATACATTCGTATACATTCGCAGAAACACATCGAACGAGTGAAACATCGGCAGAAAATGTTCCTGCAATTGAGGGACTTGTATAGCGTTTATGTCCAAAAGTCTTTCACCGACGTGCTTTCATTAAGACAATACAAGGTAGCTATAGAAAATATTTTTTTAATTACATTCTGTCTAATTTTTCTTCTTCACTCTACTTCTTTTCTTTTTCTTTACCAGGGAACTGTGGTGATCGATCACGTACAAAAAGTCCTCGATTTACATGTGAGTGCACGGGACGATAAAAAGACGGGCAACGACACCAGATCGCTCTCGGGAGGCGAACGATCTTACTCTACCGTCGCGTTCATCTTGGCTCTCTGGGACTGCATTCAGCTACCCTTCTATTTTCTCGATGAATTCGATGTATTCATGGTAAGCTGTTGTATTCTTATACATCTTGAATTTGTCTTGGATAAGAAAAAAATAACTATTTGCCTTGCGTGCTTATTTATAGGACAAAGTGAACCGGCGGGTGGTAATGGATATTCTTTTGGATCACACTAAATTGCATCCACAGAGTCAATTTGCTTTCCTCACACCTCTAGACACGTCGCACATTCTTGCTGAGGATTACGTAACAATTCACCAGTAAGTAGTTTTTATCGAAATAATATAAGCATATTTTGTCCGTTTTAAATGAGTAAATTTTTAAAAATATAAAAATATAAAATTGTAATATTGCGAAACAAACTTAACAATTTCAGGAACATTGCGTTACAATGCTTTGAACATACATGTTTTTTTCTAGATTACAGCCACCAGAGAGAAGAGGCTTGAGCCAGTGAATATATATTTCCGTTCGAATATATGTATTTTTTTTAGTTATTCATTATTTTCAGATTTATCTGAGATAGGAAAATAATTTTAAAGCATAACAACGATGTATGAAACTTGTTTTGTGTCGATAAGTGAAAATAATTTATTTATTTTGTATTGTTGAAAGAGGTAACTTCTAGATGTTTACGTGTAAGGCGAACTCCTAGATGTTTACGTGTAAGGCGAACTCCTAGATGTTATGTGTAAGGCGTAAAAGCAGCGTTCAAATTTATTTTATGTATCTTTCATAAAAGTGACAAGTGATTCAAAATGTTTTTTACTTACGATATATGTATACAGGTACCCTGGTGATTCAAAAACTGTTCGCAGCTTCGAGTTACGATACTCGGAATAAGTTTTTGTAACTGAAACGATAAAAGAAAGTGCCTTCGATTGTACCGTGTAACGAATACAGATTTTCTCTTTTTCATAATAAAACTTTGTTAAATCATCGCAGCTGATTTCGATAATTGTTAAAAATTGCAAGTTTGCTTCCTTTCCAGGCTCCTATATCTTCAACCTTATCTAGACGTCATTATTTCATATTCGGAACTAAAAACTAACCGGAGAATTCGCGAGAGGCTTCTCTTCAGGATTTATTCGTTGCCAAAACAGGCGTCGGGATATCCAGAGTAGCCAGAGAGGTGGTGGGCGAGAGAGGTACGAGACATTGTGCGTTGCGGGCCACGCCAGACCGGTAAGTAGATCAAGGTTCACACGGCATTGCGCGAATCTGGTCCGGCCCGCGGGGTTCCCGGCTATAACGCAACACGCCTTTAACGCATTACGTGCGTATTACATGCGATACGCGTGAGGCGACTGTGGCCGGTGCGTGTGTCGGCCGGCTGGACGAGGCGTGGTAATCGACGTTATGTAATCCGTATGCCTGGCACTTGGTCGGAGAAAGTGCTCGGCGAGCGCTCGTGAATCGGTAATGCGGTAATGTCACGGAAAGGCGGGATAACACCGGTGGGCAGGTAGTACCTGACCTAATTTCGCTAATTGAGCCCGGTCGAATTCGACGTTTCCTCGACGACTTTCGATCCGCGCGGCTTTTTATCCCCTTTCTAGCAAATTGGATAACGTATTACGTTACGTTACGGCGATTACACGCGTTTGAAAAAATTCGAGCGCGTGCGTCTCTCAAATTATGTAAATTATATCGGCCCGTCGTTTGTGAAAACAGCACTCGATACTAATTTGAAATCGAATAATGCGCTTTTTATTTAGTTCGATGGATGCACGCGCGATTCACTCTTGACAAAAGCAAAATAGCTGCTGCAACACTTTGCAATTTTCAATAGCTTTCAGCATTAAGATCTTAACTCGTAGTAACGATGACAATTAGAGGAAGAAGCAATGACTACGATTGAAAAATGATTCCGTGAGAAAATTATGATTATTCCAACATTCAAAACACAAATATTCCAAGTCTTATTCTAAATGATCGAGAAATATACACACACTCATCAATAGAAAGCTGGCTGAAGAATATTTCTTCCACCAGCTTATGAGAAAATGAATTATAATTATATATTAAAAAGTGCTCTAGAAAACACAGCTGCTAATCCCCTGCAATTTAAATCAGATTTTTCTCAAAGTCCAACTTGAATTACTGAACGAAAATACAGCGAAAATAGGCGAAGATAATTTCATACGACTTATATACTTGCTACGAAAATTGAGATTTATTCGGTAAGTATCAGTTCCTAAGTGGTGGTCAGGTCACAGTTCAGTGGAGGTAGGCAGCGGGGGCGGCGTAGGAGATGGCGGGCGCGGCGACCTTGGCGAGCGGCGCGGCGTAACCGGCGTAACCGGCATAGCCGGCGTAGGCGAGGGGAGCATGGGCAATGGGTGCGGCATGGGCCACAGGGGTGGCGATCTTGGCGATCGGGGCGGCGTAGGCGAGGGGTGCGGCGTGTGCGATGGGAGCGACGGCCTTGACGGCAACGGCGGCGGGTTCCTTGCGGACTACGGCGTTGAATCCGTTGACCGGGTCAGCGGTGTAGTCGACGATGCGCCTGGTGCCATCGGCCTCCAAGAGGGAGTAGCTACCCTGGACGAGGTCACCGTCGCGGGTCTCCTGCTGGCTCTTGGCGTCACCGGTCAGACTGTCGTGCACGTCGTAGGCATAGCTGTACTGTGGATGCGGATCGAAGTCGGCGTCCACGGCCTTGGCGACGGGGGCAGCGACGACCGTGGGGGCCGCAGCGTAAGCCGGGGCCGCAGCGTAGGCCAGAGGGGCGGACGCGATAACACCGGCGTTAGCGGCGGCGATCAGAGCGGCGAAAGCGATAAACTGGGGAAGAAAGATAATAAATAAATTGAATAAAATCGTACAAGAAATGTACTGAAATATAATATAAATTATATATAAAATTTACAAAATTATATAAAACGGTTAAATATAGAATAAGTGATACAATATAAGAATTGATACAATAGTACACAACATGAAGAAAAAAAATGTAAATTAATGTAAATTTAAAAAATTATCAAAATTATGATGAAGTACAGATTTCTTATATTTTGCACTAACTAATTTTATTAATCTCTTCGTAGTGAAATTTTCAAAATGCGAACGATAATTAATCCGATCTAAAGACACGAAAGACTTGTCGCGTAAAAGCTGTTGCAGAATTTATCAAGAACATGTTAAATGCGTTACTTTCGAATAATCCAAATATCGTTAATTGCTCTGTTTGTGGATCTCGATAAATGGAGTAATATCACGAAAAAAACTATGAGTGCATCGTTATTATTCTCGAATTATAATTCGCGTAATAGAATTCAACCGAGAGAACGATGAACTATACGTCGCGAGAAACTTGACCGAAAACTTGAGGATTATCGAAGATCGGCCGACCGTACATCGAGGTAAGGACGTAATATGTACCTTGAAGGCCATTGTTGCTCGGGTGATCGGTAGTTCGCTCGATCTTGTGAGTCTGGTGCGAATGATACCAATGGATGGATGGTTTTCGGCTTTTATACCACTCTGCCCGGGTCTGCCGAGAGGCTCACACCACACCACACCACATCGCCGCCGTCGCCGCATACACTTACACACATCAGGTCGTACCCGCTCACTGATGTAACTGGGTGACGGTACCTTCGACGGCCACCCGATTCGCGGTCGCGAAGAGCGCAAAATTGAGCAAGAAATCGGACCACGCCCAATGAGAGCGACGATCCGGATCGGATCAGAACCCCTGCTCTCGCATCTTGAAGGACCAACGAGCAGCACCGGTCGTCGTCGCCGGGGACTAGGCCACGTCCTTGCCACGAGTTACCTGATCCTCCTCCGCCCAACCCGCCTGCTCCATCAAGGGTTATTACGGAGCATTTATTCTTTCACTCTTTACCCACAAAATTTCTTTTTCTTTCCTCATGTATAATGGCCTTTGCGAACCTGGTAAATTTTGGCGATAGATCGCAAAAATCTGTAATAATTTTACCGATTCTTAATATAAAATGAAGTGATTAATGAAAAATGATGGAGAAATAATTAAAATACGCAAATGATCTCGCGTACTGATATTGATTATCTGTTCATGGTCGTCAAGACCTTGTAATACTTATATTTCTTATATTTCAAGACTTTCCACCAGAAAGGCTGTAAGCACGATATTAAACATTATTTTTCTCTTTTAAGGATTCCGCGTCCTTGTACATAAAACTGAAATTCTTTCAGAAACCATGGAAAAGTATGATTGTCAATTTACAGACTCGATAAAAATATTTTAAGTTTTTAAGCGCGACTTTTAAGCGATTTTTTATTTTTACTTACGTAATTGTACGTAAACAAACCAGTACGATCAAAATCTCTCACTTCTTTCTATCAGTTCTTTGTATCATGCTTACATCTGTAGTCTTTGTCTACAATCCATAATAAATAGCATAACTTTCTTTTCTCTTCTTCATGAAGACTCTCTTGGATCTATCAAGATCTGTTCATCTATAGACTTTCTTAGAGCTCATTTGTCACTCTATTCTCTTTACAGATTTTTCTTAGCTTATTTTTGATCAGTTACTTTAATGCCGCGCGTTTCTTAATTTTCCATTATTCGCTCGGCTTGGGCCGAATATTCTGATTTACGTTGAAATTCCTATATACGAAGCTGTTTTTCGCGATTTGCATTTGCTTAGAAATTACGTTCGGTACTCGCAATGCGTCTTTGTAAAATAATTTTTTTAATTGATGAGTAAAGTCCGTAATTAGCGATTTTGACAATTGAAACACAAACGTTATCTAATCGGAAATACTACAAGATGATAGGTGTTTGTAACTAAATATTTAAATATTTAACAAATGTTAATTAATGTTTTAAATAATATATTAACATACATATTTATATATGCATAATAGTAAATTTCTTTATGTAATTTAGTTATGTAATCTTTTGAGATTATATAATGTAGCACATTTTTTTAATGTCTGAAAATGTTACTTTGAAATTATATTTAAATTTGGGATTTTCAATTAATGTTGCGTTATATTATTAGCAAACGAAATTAATATCGTAGCATCTGTATTCAGCAATTCTGTTTTAATTACCAGGCACTCCCTCTCGCAACAAGGAGTGCAATTTAATCGATGTGACAAGTTGCATAGTACTGTGCAATAAAGAGTGACACGGTGCTACTTGCATCAACTTGCGTGAGCAACGAGTATGTCGATACTCAAGCCAGAAGTTAATGGATACGTATAGGCCGCCTGGCCGGGTATCACCAACCCAGATAATTATGCGAACCGTTTCGAAACGCGTTGTCTCGTGTAATTTTGAGGCTTGATGGATTATAATCTCTTGGATCGCGAAACACACGTGTCAGCAAACGCGTATACGTAACGAGAGAACGAAGTCGAAGTTCGCTCGGAAGTAATAATCATTCTCAACGATACAGAAATTAGAACGTAAGGAAAAAATTTACATTAATTTCATGTATAATAATTCTTATATAATAATTCATATATATAATAATTTGAAACATTACATATACCTACAAATTATAACTCGTACAACGTGGACGTAGGATATTTATACCGAGTTTAATACTTATCGAAAATATTCCACATCGAATAGAATAATAAAGAGATCTCGGTATATGTATACATTATTTTTTTATCTGTATTATAATATCACATATTGAAATTGTGCGTATACGTAGCGCGATACTTGTTACATTTTTTGACGCTGGAACGATCGAGTGAAAGATACGCGTATCTTTCCATGTTAAGAGAAATGAAGGCCGTTGATTTTAATACACATAAATAAGACATATATTTTTCGAGTTGCGTTAATGTGCGCGGCTCGACGTGAAATTACAGCAGGACTTGTCCTGCTAATTGACACGCGCCACAGGGATCCGGATCAAAGCATTTTTCCTCGCCCAAGAAGGCGAGTTCGGTTTCAACGTCCGGGTCATCCGGCATGTAATTTACTGCCGATTCACTGCCATGCACACACTTCCTGTCGCGACCTTCGATCGTTCCCATAATCGGTCGAATCAAAGCCGACAGGTCTCTTTTCCTTCCCTTCTTTTTTTTCTTCTTTAACGAAATTGTGTTTGTACTTCGTAAAATTATGCCCTATATATGGAGAAGCATCGAGTATTTTCTCGAAACATTGAAAAAAAAAACGTGGTAACATCATTATAATATTACTTATCGCTCACTGCAATTATAAATTGCAATGACGCATAGTAGGATTAATTAAATCCTTGAATAAGCATTTTTAAGCGAGTTCGAGCGGTAAAATATGAACAATTTATATAACCGAAATCTATAATTATTTAAATTGAAACCTCTAAAAGTATATATATTCAAAAAATACCGCAAGAGCAATTTACTTGTTGCAGACACCGCGTGCGAAACACATTCAAAATTTTCAAAAGTCTCTTCCTCGATGATTGCGTGACCGAGATCGCCTGTACGTACGAAATTTTCGGTAACCATCTTTGTGCAATCGTTTAGCTTCCAGATCTTGATCCCGGGTGGGGCGATTTTCTTCGTGTCAGAAAAAATATCGATTTCACGCGGATTTCGTGGGCAGCGGACCAGAAGGCAGAGCGATTGACAAAAACACCGAGAGACGGTGACGAGCGAAATCTCGAGTCTCAATCGGCACGAGGCTGCTCGATAATGCCCGCGGGCCCGCGATCGATCGGCGCGAGCCGCGCGATATTCGGCCGACCCACCTATTTCTTCTTTATGAAAGTGCTCCACTTCTCTCTTTCTCTCTGGCACGGGCCCCGACGACGTTAGATGATATGACGCAACAACGCGATCCCGGTCTGTCGCGACACATTTGGCAGAGACACGTAAATCGGAATGGCTCGAAAGTTTCGCGGCGACGCTGACGAACGATGCTCGGTGATTTTTGTTTTCTCGTGCGTGGGAGAACAGAATACCCAATGTTCATCACAATTGATCACAATTATGATGAAGGAATTAATATTCTTTTGTAGAAACTCTTATGGAAAGAAAGCACGGAGGAAAAGTTAGGATTGCTACAACAGAATAATAATGTTATTTTTCGTCCATCTAAAAATCGTTATAGGAATCATATAATACACTGGAAGTGACTTATATTTTCTCTTAGTGAGAATAGCTACTATATGAATGTTACGACTGTAATGATTATCCCTAACAATTGTTCTTGCAATCGTACTTATATACATGTTATCCTATTTTCAGCTAATGGCATTTACAATCTTTATCTGTATGAAAATCATACATTGTTATTAAATGAAACTATACGTGAATACAGACAGTTCAAAAATATTAATATTAATTTTAACAGAAATTATGAAATCTTTACTCTCTCCCAATTAATAGATTTTATTATTCGCCATGTATTCAAAATTTATTTATAGCAAATAGAGAATATATGCAGGAGTCGCGAACACTAACTTGATGAATGGATTCGACAATTACGTAGATAGACGTAACTATATTTCTTAAAATATCCTTAACAATCTCTATTGTATAATCTGGCTGTTATTTTAGGAACCACATTCTAAAATCACATTCTAAGAATAATGTTATAATTGACATGACGATCAAACACCGCGTCTGTACAAACATCAACTCCTATTTCGATAATCTGAGATTCTTAAAGTTTATTTTTTTGCCGGGTCTAACGTGATGCAAACTCTTCACGTTGGAAATCTGTATTATATGATCTGTGTCATAAGTATTATAATTTTCTAATCCATTCTCAATGATGCCTCGCGAGAAATTGGTCCATTCAAGGTCCGCGTATGAAAAGTGGAGTTTGGGATGGCCAGTAATGTACACAGAGCCAAACGGACGTTACACAATAACAGGAAACAATTATAGCGATAGATGAAAAAAAAAACGAACGAATTGATTTGCGATATGCCGCAAGAACGCGAAGCGATTGGTGTAGATAAACACGCCATTTGTGACTGGGGTCTTTTACTTTTTATTTTTTTAAATATACTCTCTTCATTTACTTTATAAATGAAGGATAAATCCGCTACAACGGAGAAAAAAAATAGCTACAGTAATCTCTTTATTCTTGTATTTTGCTGCCAAAAAGCAAATTCTTATCACAACATCTAATGCAATAATAGCATGAAAAATTTTTTAATAGAAAACTTTTTAATGAAAAGGAGAATAATGAAATTATTAATTAAGAAACAAATTAATTATTTTTGTAATTTATATGTTCCAGCCAGTGTTAAAAATTATTTATTATTATTATACTAACCGTTCGTTTATCAAACCTCACACAGTTTTATATATTTAATAAGATGTGTCTCAAAAATGCGTCTTATTCTTTTTGTCTCATTCGCGTGGTGCATTGTGTTTTAAAATGAGAAAAGCCGATATCGTAATGACTATGTCAAAGTCAAGTTATTTCGAATTACTTCCGTCTTCGCCAAAAAAGAATTGCGGCAATAGATCCTTCCAAGTGTCTGTGAACTATCGGGAGCGAGGGTGCGCGATCGCGAGTGCGAACCGGCCAAGTTCAAGTGCGGTCGGCCGTCAACGCCGGCGAACTTTCAAAGTCCGGCACCAGAATCGATGGTGGGGACCCATACGGTGGTGGACTGCATGGGCCACCGGGTATATAAAACGGTCGCGATCAACACCGCACATCATCAGTCTTGCTTTGGTCGATCCAAACCAACTAAATCCACTCAAGAATGGCGTTCAAGGTGGGTAGAAGATTGCAAACGCTAAGGACCTTCCAAGTCCGTTAGCCTGCAGTGTTTGAAGTCTTATTCGACTTGGTTGTACATTCGAAGTGCTCTTGAGACAGAGGTTTACCTTCTGGAATTCGCTCTTGGATAGAGTAACATTCGCGAGTGAACATCAATCGGAATTAGTTCCTCGCGCAAATTCCAAGTGCATATCGAAATGTAAAACCAGGATCGATTTGGTATTGTCAACAAAAGTTCCCTCGTGAAATAGACCGAACAGAAACTCTATCAATATATTCTTTTGCAGTTCGTCGCTTTCGCCGCCCTCGTGGCCGCCGCCAACGCCGGTGTTCTCGCGCCTGCAGCCTCCCTGGCCTACGCCGCGGCTCCCACGGTCGTCGCCGCCCCCGTCGCCAAGGCTGTGGTAGCTAAGGCCGTCGACGCCGACTACGACCCGCATCCACAGTACAGCTACGCCTACGACGTGCACGACAGCCTGACCGGCGACGCCAAGAGCCAGCATGAGACCCGCGACGGCGACCTCGTTCAGGGTAGCTACTCCCTCTTGGAGGCCGATGGCACCAGGCGCACCGTCGACTACACCGCTGACCCAGTCAACGGATTCAACGCCGTAGTCCGCAAGGAACCCGTCGGCGTTGCCGTCAAGGCCGTCGCCCCCATCGCACACGCCGCACCCCTCGCCTACGCCGCTCCGATCGCCAAGATCGCCACCCCTGTGGCCCATGCCGCACCCATTGCTCATGCTCCCCTCGCCTACGCCGGCTACGCCGGTTACGCCGGTTACGCCGCGCCGCTCGCCAAGGTCGCCGCGCCCGCCATCTCCTACGCCGCTCCCGTCGCCAAGCTGGCCGCCCCAGTCGCGGCTGCTCCCCTCGCCTACGCTGGCTACGCTGCCCCCGTCGCCAAGCTGGCCACTCCGCTCGCAGCCCCCCTCACCTATACCGCTCCCGTAGCTAAAATCGCTGCCCCCGCCGTAGCCCATGTCGCGCACGCTGCACCCCTTGCCTACGCCGCGCACGCCACTCCCCTTGCGTACACCGCTCATGCAGCCCCCTTAGCGTACGCCGCGCACGCAGCCCCCCTCGCTAAGATCGCCGCGCCCGCCATCTCCTACGCCGCCCCAGCTGCATCCCTCTCCTACGCCGCCCCAGCTGCATCCCTCTCCTACGCCGCCCCAGCTGCATCCCTCTCCTATGCCGCCCCCGCTGCATCCCTCTCCTATGCCGCCCCCGCTGCATCCCTCTCCTATGCCGCCCCCGCTACCTACATCCACTAATCATGTTGATCGCGTCAACCTACATTGTCGACTCAGGCCGAACTTATTTATTTTTATATCATGTATATGTTCTTTCTATGTGACTGATTAAAGAAATTACACACGTATTTGGGACTATTCGTTTGCGCGAAATCTTGTCAACCATTTCCTGCATTTGTCATCATATTAATAATTGATGTAAATATTCACAATATGTTAGTCATACCTAACATTTAAATAAATTGTGTGTAATGCTACATATGGATATAATATCTATATCATATTGTACGTAATATTAGGTATTGCAAATATTTGCCAAGAATTCAATTACGAACAGAAAGTATCTAAGTTATCGAATCTAAATTCAATTCATGATAAAAGATGTCAAACGTGATAAGGAACGAACATTATCATAATCAGTTTACACAACGATTATCGTAACACATCAGTTTAAGATAAAAGAAAGACGGAAATATCGAAAACACCCTAGCAAAACAGACAGAAATTACATTTGCGGAATTAATGATAATAGTGATTTATTTTGACAAATTTTACAAATTTAAGATTTTAATCACACTATTTAATGCACAAAGTTAAAGGATGTTGTTCAATTAAAAGTGGAAATATAAATAATAACTGATAGAGAGGTAGATAACGAGGGAGATCACCTTGATCTGATATCAATTGCCATCTTAAGAGTGCTTAATTGGCTTTATTATATTGATTAATTTTATCGCACTCACATAATGATCGCCCGATCATCATCTCACACGGTACCGGTTTTGCCCGAAGGACTACACGTTTATCCCAACACATTAACATTTGCATTCAAATGTCTTACTTCCATTCACTATGCTTCTCAAACGTTCAAAGTTTTTCAGAACAGCAAAAATATTATAGAGCAAGATCTACAATTTAAGTTTAATTACGCGTAATATTCTATGAATTAAAATATAAGAGAATTTCTATACGCGAAATTTTTCTGTTTTATTTATGTGGGTGGCACTGACTATTTTTTACCTATCGAACAGACGAGATCAAAAGAGCCCACGTGTCAATCTTTATTTAAGCACTATTACTGTTCTGGAATTTCTGAGAAAAGAATGGCGAAATGATTAAAGCAAAGCAAAATCTAGATATCGAGCGCTTACCACATGTGATGTGCTAATCGCGTGCGTCATATGCGACATTCTAGCTCGCGATTGCAATTCGTATTGTTCTGTGTCGTCAGGCTAATATAAATTCACGACGCGATGTCGAAACTCTCCTCACTCTGTTGTCGTTTATGCCGAATCTATTTCGCATCGTTTCGAGAGCGCCACGTCGCCGCGTCAGCACTCTCGCGATTCGGAATTTATCGAGAGCTGTCTCTGCGGCGTGTTTACGATGTGCAACAGTAAAGGCAAATTTACGGATTGTGGAACATGGACAAGTAATTGTAACTCGTAACTCACTTTAGTTTTTAATTATGTAACGCATGATTTAATACAAAGTTATACCTTTTTGTAAATCATCATTCACGTTTTCGTGAGACAACTTTTATGGGATTTACAATATAGAGATAATTGGAGCACCGAACGATATGTAAAAATTACCATATAGGAATTAAGAATTCCAATTCCCCGAAACAGACAATTTCGAAATTTTTTCGACGTTGTGAAGGATCTGTTTCTCGGCTCAATTCGACCTTTGTAGCTACCTACTCGCGATATATCGTTCCGAAACGGGCAGCGTTAAATTTCTCGGTCTCCGAACGGGCCGCACGTGCCCTTGGTGCATGGGGTAAACTTTCGCGCGTAATACCGCGGCGATCGGCGTCACGTTATTTCTGGCGTTCGCCAGAATTGACCCACTTTCTCCGCTTTTCGCTCGTCCTTTCTCGAGCACCTCCCTGAGAGACGCGCGGCCGCGCAAGGATCGCGCGTACGGAGCCTTCCACTTTTGTTCGCCGGTCTCGATCGGGCCCGATTGCAAAAGTGCCGTTGCATATATCGCCTAAGGAATCGCGGGGCATGACAATGGAAAGACACCGATTTTGCGAATGCAATGTCGCCCGTCGCGGTTCTGCCGACCGGGCGGCGCGCCGCGGCGATGACTCGCGCGGCATGAGTCGCGTTAATTTGGCTCATTCTGATAATTGAACCGAACATTCTGCCGAATAATTCTACCACGCTGTATTCGCCTAATTATATCACACAATCATGTATTCTACCTGGGACAGTTTACGTAATTCGAATAATAATTTTATTCGATCGAAGCTAAAAATTAAAATTACAATAGGGTAACTGTCCCTATTAGTGTGCTTTTATATTTAAATAAGTCATAAAAATAAACTGATACAAATATATAGACAAAGTTTTTTTTTTATTAAGTTAAAGTATTAACTTAATAAAAAAAAAATACTTTTAATAATACTTAAATAGGAACAGTTACCCTATTAATTCTGTCACTGATAACAATTTTGACTTTCGTATTTCTTGGAATTATGTGGGTCTCTCTCTCTCTCTCTGATTAGAATTTTATCAAAATAAAATCCACTACAAGCTACGCTTGAAGCTTGAGTCTCGAAGACCAAGTCTGGCGCGAGAACGAGCTACGCGCGGCACGTAAGGAAGCGGAGAAACGTAGGAAGAAGAATTACGTGTGCACCGCGCCACCGAAGTCGCTCACTCGTTCGCACGCGGCGCCGAATCCATTTGCCGTGGGAGAAAGGCGTTCAAATTCCAGGCCTCGATTTAAATTGCGTTGCATAACGGGGCGGACCGCTCGCGCTTTTCGGGAAGCGCGTACACACGCGTCGCGTTGTTTCGCGATCAGGCGATTCCACGGAAATGGCGATCGATATGGCGAACTGCGTGTCGAAATCGAATATACCGTCCATAATAACGGCCTTGATGCTAAGGTTATCGCTCTCACACAACTTTAAACTGCTACTATTATAGATTCATTAATAATATCAGGGCCGTTTTTTTCGCCAAGCGTAGGGTCTCGATAGTTTCTCAAGGTTCGGGCGTTTCGAGCGGACTCTCACTTTTTCGGTTTTTATCCGGATCTACTTGCTTATCTTCTTGTCTTTGGTCAATTTGTTGCAATAAATATGCAGATATACAGTTATCAAACTGTAGAGAGGTAGCTCTAAATTTTCGGGAGAAGAATTCTTTTTGTGTGTAAAATTGAAGCTCTATAACAGATGCAAAATCGGTTAAACCATAATTAAATATGTGATCGAGCTCGGTGAAATCGGTCATTATAGACATGCAAATTCGAGGGCGCGATTATGGCGAGCGGGGGGGCCCACGTATATCGCGTAGCCTTCCTTCACCGACGAGCCGACATGGTCCTGAATTAATATTTATTAGCCCGATCTTGCTCCCGCCTCGTATTTCACTTGATCTTCACGATTTCTCGTTAACGCGACTTCTTCGTCCCGTACAAGGATAATTATAAGCCGCTAATAAGCCTGCACGTGAAAAGCGCGCGCGTGAAAGATAAAGTGACTTTTAAAAAAGTAAAGAAGAAAGAATATCGCGTTCCCTAATGAGGGAGAAGAGCAAAACACAGTCGCGAGATTTTTAAATCGAGAATTAACGTAGGCGTCCTTAATGACGTGACTGACCAAAGATGTGCATTTAAGATATTTTGGGAATCGGTGCCGTCGGTGGGATTTAAAAATTGCGGCGAGTGACCAAAGATGTGCATTTAAGATATTTTGGGAGTCGGTGGGATTTAAAAATTGCGGCGTGCGACGAGGGCGTGCGACGCGACATGGGTAAATAACATTTTAATATAAAATATATAAATACGTAATACTATATTTAATCCGTGACGTCGTTCTGTCTGCCTTTCGCCTTTCACATGCACACGACACATCTTCTTTATATCACCTCCCTCTCAATTTTTTTTTTTTTTTGATCCTTTACTGTCGACAATTTATCTGACGCGCGTGACAGCCGGCATTAATAACGAAATGGACCGCCTTGACGAGCGTAACATTTGCCTCGCTTATGCACTTTAAAATCCGAACGGTCCGCCGGATTACGATGCGTCGATGAGAAATGATGGGGTCGAAGAGAAAGATCCTTGATTTAAATTTTACCCGTGGCTTTTACGCGCGCGCGGATCCGATTGGAGCCGGGCGGTGATTTATAACAAAGTAAGAACAGATCGGCTGACGGGATGGCGATAATTTTTCAACAGGTTCGGGGAAACATTCCCCGGTGTGTCCATTAGGTGTGTGCGCAGCGTGCACTCGCTCGACCCCTTTTTCGCTTTCGCGTTGATAACCTTGATTCGCACGAGCATGGTTAAATGATAAAAAAAACGCGTAGCCTTAATCGGTGAGTTCGAATGTCCGTCGAGGGTCGGGACGTATGCAGGATCTTTCATTCGTTTCGTCGAAAACATCCGTTTAAAGCGGACGGTACACTACACGTCCGTTCACTTCCATTCGATCTCGTGACCTGTTGCAGTTAAATCATTGTAAACGTTAATTTTGAATTAATTACACCCTCAATCAATTGCGCGCTTAATAAGCGTTGTAAAATAAATTTAATTGAATATCCGTAACAAACATATTTCAAGACAGCATAACTTCTCTGCATTTAGAGAGAGAGAGAGAACAAAGAATCGAAGACCTCTTTTAAATGATGCTATTCTTTTGAAATTAATTAAAGATAGAATCATGTTTTAATTTGCCAACAATTTATCCCAGTAATTATTTTAATCTGTAGGCGTGTCTTTTAATATAGTAAAGTGTAATTTGATTGTAGAAGGTAAAAGCGAAGACAAATGTTGAACTAATCCGAAAGGATGCGCAATGCGTGCTGCGCGTTTAATTCATCAAATTAAACGTACTCCAGTCACGGCACTCACGGCGTAGTTGTGCAGTTACCGCAAGTGCTACGTGCTACGCTTTGCAAATTGATTATCGATGTCGTTAATGTAGCGACGCAATTTTGCGCATCGCGTTAAACGGTTCTACGTAATTAGTTATGCCTTACGATGAATTCGCACGATCGACAGGAGGAGGGAAATGAGGGAATACGGCGCGATTTTTCCTCGCACGCAACGAGAGAATATTCTAGGATTTTTTTACTTCAGTTATCAAATCTCACAATTTAATTAGGAATTAAATAAAAATACAATAAAACTTAACATTTTATCTTTTAACGATTTTCCGCAAAAATGCCCGAAAAAAGGCGAGCGGTCATCTATCAAAGGCCAGGTCGAGTCGCCTCCTTTTGTAATCGGATCGGCGGAGGAACGCGTACGTCGGTTCTCGCCCGCGGCGATCGAGGTGTTCGCCTGTTCGCTCGGATTCCGGACCGGTCTCTCTCTCTCTCTCTCTCTCTCTGTCAAAAGTGGACCGGTCTTTCGTGCGCACGTAATACGGGGCGCGATTACGAGGTGCCGCATAGTGACATTGGGCGCGGTTTTTTGACGGCCGCGGCTGCAGTCGCGTTTTCTGTTCGGTGAAAGTCGATCCGCTCGCGCGCGCGAAACACTCTCCTTCTTGCCCCTTCTTCGTTCCGCTGCACTCCGTCTTGCACGGTTCGGAAGGACGGGCAGAGAGAGAGAGAGAGAGAGAGAGAGAGAGAGAGAGAGAGAGGAGAGAACGAAGACGGCGCTCTTTTTCTCGCGACGTTGTAATCCGGATTACGTGTTACTTTTTTTCTGAAACTTCTGTTTTATTCGACGAATGACCGATGTAGTTCCTGGACGTGCCCTCGCAAATAATAGCTTACATAATCTCACGTAATAAACGACGCTTGAATTCCAATTAATTTGTATTAGTCAAAATTTGTTTTATATTAATTACCACGTGTTTTAAAATTGATACGTATATGTGTATGGAGTGTTTGCGTTATGCAAAATAAAAAGATATTTTTGCGTATATTAATTATGTTGCATTATTGTAAATTATACAGGATTATTTCTGGGCGCGTATAATGTGCCAATAGATTCTCAAAATTTCTGTTCCATATTTTTGCTACTGTTGTGTTATTATTTTTTTGCTCGTACACTGCAGGTTATAAATAATCAGTCAGTAATCCAGTAGAAGCGTAATGTATAATAATATTATAAATTGTACGCAAAAAGTGATGTTCTTTCATTTGATTTTATTATATCAACGGTTTTCGCATTAAGAAAGTTAATGCAGTAGTAGATGTCGCTCACTGGGCAGACGTCTGGCGCGGCCGCGATCTACTTGCCTGACTCGCGCTGATCTTTACTACTTGCTCTGTGAAAAGTGAGATATCGAAACATGAAACTTCTTTCACGATATCTCAAGGACTCTTTATACCATATAAATTCTGTCAGTAATAAAACTGCATGGCTCTCTCTTGTGACAAAAAAATATATTTTATTTTCACTGAAAAAGTTTAAGTATTACTCGGAGTATATAAAGTGAAACATACGTTTCGTTCGATATAATTGATATAATTTTGATATGTCACGGCCGCGTACGAGAATACCCTTTTCAAGAAAAGTCGGCGGCGCGCGGATAATGACGTATTATAAAAAGATAAAAGGGGTTTTTTTACTGGCGAGATACCAATCGAGAGCGGCCAATGAAGACATTCCCGAGATGAAGATGGCAATAATCGTGTTTTTACGATATCGGATTAATAATCATAATGATAAGCTTCTTTTCGTATCGTTTAAAATTAAATGCGTCGCGCGTAGCCGAAGGTCGCGTTACGTGCACGCGTGTACGTACATGTACATATGCGCGACGTGTTTCTTGCGTAAACACGACGACAAGGGGCCCGCGGGCTCGGTGCGCGTAACAACGGGTCCGGGTCTTACGTAACGCGAGATGGATTGGACCCCGACATGACAGCCGACCGACTCGCGATCGATTCGCGACGTGGGTGACATTGATCGACGCACATCCAGAGTTCGTCGCTTTTACTTGTTATGCGGTACCCTGTTTTTTTTTTATGGCACGCGTGCGACCTGCGATATGTAATCCAAGTGGGATCGACTGCGACCAGCGACCTCGTATTGTTTCGGTCAGTTGCATTTTGTCGTTACTTTGCGCTTTCCAGGAACAAAGGCTGACCGTAGATGTCAATCGCAGAAACAGTGAGGAAGAAGCGAGATAAACGCGCATATGTATAAGTAACTCATGGCAAACAGTTTATTACAGTTTTTGTCGTCAATAATCCTAACAAAAAAAAAAAATAACGAAATGGTAGTGATTCGAGGTAGATACGAGTGGGCAGTTTACGCGGTGGCGGGGGTGTAAGCCAGGCCGTTAAGGGGCACGGCGTAGGCGAACGGCGAGGAGTACGCGGCGCTATACGCGGCGTAGGGGTTAGCGGGGTACGTGGCTATCGCCCTGGCGGCAGCGGGAAGACCAATTAATCGGGGGGTCGCGATCTGCTGTTGCCGCTCAATTTGTCCAGTGATGATCCGCGCGGATTGTTGTTCTTGCTGCTGCTGCTGTTGTTCCTGCTGTTGATGATACTGGATCTGTAATCTCGACGACCGACTCTGCTGTTCCTGCAGCAGCTGCTGTTGTTGCTCCTGCAGCCGTTGCAGCTGTTGCAACTGTTGACGCTGGAGCTCTCGGTCGCGCGTCGTCGGCTTCGCTTTCAAGGGGCCCAACCGGGCATCGAGTACCTCGACGTCGGAATCGGGTCCGACGGCGGGGATCGACGGCGCCGGGGCGGCGGCGGCGGGTGCGGCCGGTATAGCGACCGGCGTCAATGTGGCCGGTCTGAGCGGAACCACCGGCGCCGCAACGGCGGCGACCGCCGGTTCCCTGCTGACGATCGCGTTGAAACCGTTGATCGGGTCCGCGGTGTACTCGACGATGCGACGCGTACCGTCGGCCTCGATCAGGCTGTAGCTGCCGCGCACGATGTCGCCGTTGCGGGTCTCGTACTGCGCCTTGGAGTCGCCGGTCACCGCGTCCTGCACGTCGTACGCAAAGCTGTACTGCGGCGCCGGGTCGAACTCCTCCAGCTTCGCCAGGGGCACCACCGCCGCTGCCGCCGCTGGCACGGCGGGCACCACCGCCCCCCGGGCGAGCATCGCCAGTCCCAGAAAGAAGAGAAGCTAAAAATTACATATTATGTATAATCTGTTCAACGACATTTCAGCAACGACCTTATCGAATTTCTAGGATTTTAACACTTTGGCACCAACGCGTATTTTAGCTACGCGTTGCATTGGCACAGGATTTACATTGGTTTTTTTTTTACACACGCGCGACTATTGATATCCGACGATAATTGAAAGATATTACTATTTTTAGATAAGTGGAAACCGATTACGAAGTACAATCCTTCGGACACAGCCACCATTTTAGAGGGGCGTCGAAAAGAAGATTCTAATGCCCGAGTTTCTTCTCCCCCTTACCGTGCCGGCCATTGTTTGCGCGCGAGAGGACCGCCAGAAGAGGACTGATGCCTCAGGGTGAGATCGTCCGTACTTTTATACGTCGTCGCTTTCGTGTCATCCGACGACCGATGATGCTCCCTGCAACCACCTACGCCCCACCTAATCACACTACCTCTGTCTCCTTCTTTCTTTCTATGCCTTCCTCTCCCGTGCGGTGACCTCCACGATAATCATTGCGATGTACAAGGGGATTCGACCTGTGATTGTACCAATGTACGCGCGCTTATGTTTCTTCATATCACCGCTGTCCGCCCGTACACGCGACTTGGATGCCAATATGCCGAAGACTCGAGGTCGTTCGACGAAATCGGGGTTCGCGTATCCGAGCACACTGCAAGACCTCCATCCTCTTTTTCCTCGCCTCCCTATAGCTGTCGATATAGGATAGTTATTTATACGTACCTAAAAGAAACAATACTGCACAGAGTCTTAGAAGCAGGACGTAACTCATATATTTGAATTGAAGGAAAAACATTGCAATAAATTTTAAATGTGACATCTTGATAGCGAAGAGCTGCAATTTAATATGAGACAGTGACACATATGACAAGAAATTTTTGGCATAACATTAAATGATATGTATATTATTCTATCGTATTTTTGACGTCTAATAATTTTTTCCTTTTTATTATAACAATATATCTCTCGCCACACTTCTCTGAGGGGAGAGAGAGAAGCTCTTTTTAAAATTGCCAGCCTCAATGTTTGGAAAAGGATGGAGAAACGCATTGCCTAACGCACCTAAACTCGACGCAAGCGCGAGCAATTGATAACCGAAGTACGCATAATCGTATGCAATGCACGTATGTACGCGTGTCGTATGCCAATACGGACGGCCTATCAAGGCCGACGAAAGCACGAGGACAGCCGTACATACATCCCGCAATTGACTGAAGTCTATTATATATTCCGTGGTAGCGGGCAGTGACGATGAGCTCTGCTAACACGAGTCGGCATGTATGTACTATTGCGTTAATTATCACATTCGCGTAATCGCTGTTAATCTATAATTCTCACTGCATATCTCAAGGCAATAGATGTATGTTTCGTGTACACTACACGATCTCATCTTTAATTTATCAAACATATTTCAATTAAAAATTTGCGAACATGGAGATTTTTCTATCTTTTTTTAAAATTTGATGTTTTCTTAAGGATCAGGATTTTCTGTATGTATTTGATACCAAAATCTATATACGTAAAATTGCTTCGAGTAATCAATTCCGCAAAATCAAGCATTATTTAATAAAATAATCTAAAACAATTTAAATTTCTGAAGAAATCATATGCAAAAGATTGAGATCGCTTTCATTTATTTTTTGTTTAAAATGTATATGTTGATTTATAAATTAATAGTTGCCGTCAAACTAAACTTAACGATATGTGATACAAAATCATTCTCATGATCGTAATTACATTATTTAATTTTTAACAAAAAAGCGACAGGTTTTTTTGAAAAAGAAATTTTTTAAAGAACTTTATAAATATGAAGGATAAATACTATAAATACTATAAATTTTTTACTTGAAAAATTTTTTCATGCTTCTCTTATTTCATTTAAATAAAGGAAGAATTGCATTATTATACATGACATATGCAATTATCATTAAATTTTCGTTAAGTTTCGCGTTGTGTGTATATCTGATGATCTGTAAGCTTTCACAATCATATTCACAAAGGAGAGCCAGAGTTTACGACTCCGAAATCCCATTCGCGAAGTTTACGTGCCATTACATAACTCAACGGCTTTATTCGCGTAACATTAGTTCGTCCATTGTAAGCGAACTTGTTTTGTGTGCATGAATTTACGAAAAATTTATGAAAATACGACCCAAAATATCCGCTCCGCACGAATAGTGATCCAAAGGTGCAAAGAATAAAAAGATCCACACATAATTTTGCAGCGAAAGTCTGCAGGATAAAATTAATCTCCGCATACAGTGTTTGTAAAAAAGTCTTTAATAAAAATCAATATATTAACGATTCATTGCAGTAACATCGATACATTATTTATAGCGTGACTAGTTCTCGTCTCGGGGATCATCGCGGATAATCATCATTCACATCCTTCAGAGCTGATAAACGAGCGGCGGCGGCGGCGGCGGCGCGACCTTGACAACAGGTTTCACCACCGCCAGGGGCTCCCGACGGACCACGGCGTTGAATCCGTTCACGGGGTCGGCCGTGTACTCGACGATTCGCCTGGTGCCGTCGGCTTCGATAAGGCTGTAACTGCCGCTGACGATGTCACCGTCCCTGCTCTCATGCTGGCTCTTCGCGTCGCCGGTCAGCGTATCCTGGACGTCGTAGGCGTAAGTGTACTGGGGATGAGGGTCGTAACTCGTGGCGTCGATCGCAGCAACTGGAAAAGGCTGCGCGGCCAGGGTCGCAGGAATAGCTGGTATAGCCGGGCCGCTTGGGCCAGTTGCAACAGCTGGGATGGCCGGTAGAGCTGGCGATGGCACGGCCGCGCCTCTGCATACCGCGAGCACCGCTGCAGCCAGGATTATTAACTGTAAATATAATTTATGTAAATTAATGTAATATAACGCAGTGTCAGAAAAATATAGATAAAATTTAATATAAGTCTAATATAAATTTAATAAATCGAAAATAAAGCATCTAATAGAAAATAAATATTTCTCATTGTACATTTTTTGCTCATCATGATTTCAAAGATATTATATGTATCATTTCATAATTAATTATATCGAAGCATAGAAACAAAGAATTTTAAACAGATGCGTGTTTCACGTTTCCATGACAAAAACTACGCGAGAAATATTCCAAATATTCCAAGCTATAATTGATTAAATAAATTTGATATACGCGATCCTTATAATTTGTACCTTGATAGCCATTTTCCACTTAATATGGTTTTGTAGATCGGCAAACGTGTCGCAAACAGGACTGACGTTCGGACAAGCGGTGACGAACGTATTTATAGCGGGATCGGGGTGGTCAGCGGCCGCCGGCCGCATCCCTCGTTGCATCGCAAGCAGCCTTCGAAGTAGCGTAGTACGTGATGCGATGACAGAAGTTTCGCTCTCGATTTATGACTCGCCGATATACATATGTGCGCGCCGGACGAGGAAGAAAGTCGGGAGTGCCGAATTGTGGTCGGTTTATTAAATTTCTTCACGGCACGACTTAATCGCGTTCGCCATTCACGGAATGTCTCGGGAGCCGCGCGCCCGAACGCAGCCACGGAATGTTAATTTTATAATACCATTCGCATAAACACCACAAGTAAATATGTCGTGCTTATTTTTTATTTATTTATTTATTTTCAGGAATCGTTTTTGAATTAACCCTTTTTCCGTGAAAATTATATCGACACACGCACAGACGTACAGTCGCGTTGAGAATGGTGCGAAAACCAGTTTCGAAATATTGCGTAGATTTCGACGGGGTGTATGTACGTGATCGCATAAGCCGCGTGCAGTCACAACTTTAGCGGGAGATTTTCGAAAGCGGATTTAAAGATAAAAAACGACGCGTGTGATTTAACGCCGGGCATTTTTCGAGATCGCGAAGATTACGCGGGCTGTGCGAGGCGTGAGGAAACGAGATGAACGCGGCCAATAATTCTCCTATGCAACAGCGCGCTGGCGATGCTTTCACCCTTGCGTAATTCCGGCGGTTTTGGTAACGGCTGTAAGTGTAACGCTTCCGCCACACGTCGCGGGAGGTGACGGATCGGGAATATCAAGTGTAAGGATGATTCATTTTCGGAAGAGTCCCGTATTTTCGCCTTCGGGTGTGAGGAAGTCGCGCGATACAGTCGTCGCGCTTATTGTTTCTGTGACACGAAGAATTAGATAGCTTCCGCGATAGCGTGAAATCATAAATTCCAGAAGGAAAAAATAATTCGTATGTAAGTCAAATAGCACCAAACTCCACGTCATACGTTGTTATAATTAATAATAAAATATAAAGAAATGAAGTCTTACACTTGGTGTATATATTATTATTAATTACAACTGAAAATAGCCCCCCTTGTAAAGCTTCAGTTCAATGCATTTTTTAAAATAAAATTGTACCGTATGAATCTGCAAAAAAATGTCATTAAACTCTTACCTGAGTACTATTATTTTCTATATGAAAGTTATCATCACTACGTTAATTTTTTTGTTCGATATAATTTCTTAAGGGTATTTTTGGTATGGCTTCACTAGAATAGCCAAGACATAATTTTTTGGCCAATTCATTATTATTTTTTACATCAATGTATATTTCACTATTAATTATTTACAAACAAAAATGTGGTCGTCTTTTTTAGATAGGAGATTGTACCATATGATTCGGCAAGCTTATTAAAATTTACGTCGAAATTTACGGGATTCGTTCATTCTTTTTAATTAATTAATTTATTTATTATTAATATATTAATATTATTATTCTCTTTCTTTTTCTTTATTTTTGAATCAGTTGTCCAAATAAACATTCAAAAAGGTATTTTACTTTTTTTATCTTAAGATAGGGGGAATCCTCAAGATTCCACCTTTGCGTCACAAAGAATACGATGTACCGATCGTCACCGAGATTGCAGACGCCTTTAGGCACGTGAATCATCTTCGTCTCTTCTTCCTTTATAAACAAAAATGAGTCATTCGGTATGTATAATTAAAGAGGACGAGCGCCGATCATGACCGTGAAACAAGTCCGCAAACCACTCTCGCTTACGCAACGTGATATCGCTGATGCTTCTTCTCGCCTCGTTCTTCCTCTACCGCATCTCGGAAAAAAAAAGATTCTGCACGGATTTATGTAATTAATGGTGCGTGTTGTTTCTATATGAAACCACAAGTGGAGTTACGCCAAACATTATAAACATAGGATGTAAATATATTCGGAAACGACTTTATACCCTTGTTTATGGGTATAAAAATATTTTTTTAGAAGAGAAAAAAGAAATTAACAGAATATCAAAAGAAACTGCTTCTAGTAGATATAAAAGTTCAATATTATGTTAACTGGCACATATGATAAACACACTACGTCCGCATTGATATTTTATTCAATGTCAAAACAATTAAGATCAATTATTCAGATATGAATGAGTAATCATTATCTTATCGATAAACGTTGCACACACAAAAATGTCGCATACACCGTATAGATCACGCGCAGCGCAAACATCAATCGATGCAAGTTTACTCTTTGTAGCTGAACCCTCTTTTCTCTTTTTTCCAACTTTTGATTTAATTATCTATTTCAGTCTATTTCTATTTTAAGTGCAGAAGGTAAAGAATAATGCAGCTACAAAGAGCAGACTTAATATGTGCATGTAAATTCTGAATTTACAAATACTATCGATATTTTCACTTCACAATGTGAGGCACTGCATACGACGTGAATAACAAGCGATCGATATTATGCATTACAAAAAGATAATCATTTTTTTAAGTAAATTCATCATTGCTTATAATACTGTTTATATCTCTACATTGCAGGAAAATAAAATCACCTTAACTAACGCACGCGTCTGTCGATTCGTTTATCTCTAAATACCGCTGATTTAATGTCTAATTCAATTTTATGGCTTAATACTAAGCAGAATCGTAAGACTCGTAACCTGTTTTCGTAAAACGTTGTAAGAACTTATGACTAAGTGCTTACAATTTTATAATATCTTCATAGATCTTTATAGCTTCTTGCTAGCCATAAGATTTACGATTATTTACGAGGAATAGATATTTATGAATTATCGTACGTCTTAGGTTTAAGATGTATGCAAGAAGAATTACAATGATAGTCATAAATTCTTATAAGTCTTATGAGAAAAAATTACAAGGCTTATGATTCTGCTTATAATTGACCCATTATGTCATGTATGTACAATTTGTTGGTTGCTCGATTAAATAAAAAATCGATACAATGATACAGATGCAGATACATATATTAAACATAATATATGTAAGATTTTCTTGTATGTATTACCAGCTGCCAAATCTAATAGTCATATAATTTCTGTTTTCTTCCTAATTTATATAATAAACTATGTATAAAATTAGACCTACTCGTAAAATCATCCGACCTACCTATAGAATCATCACATTTTATGTTATTTGGATTTAAAAAAATCGAGAAACATAATAACATAAGAGTTATTAACATTAATATCTCTGTCTGTTTAAATCAGCATGATTCAACATATTAAATCGATTCACTCAAATATTTTATGGACAAGATTGGCAAGCAATCTTCGCATACGGTTTTCTTTATACACTGGCCAAACATTGCAAGCTCAACCATGTGATACAGAAATCGTTGTATTAGCATACTGCTACTTAAAATCGAATTCCTAGTAACAAATTTAAAAAAAAATAGAGCAACATCTTTCTTTTATTGTTTACGGCCACGTGATCTTCTGACGTTTTTTCGGTAGTGATTCCTGAAAAATTCAAGTATACATCCGCTGTTATTTACTTATACAAATTAAGATTGTACAAAATTTATAAAATATCACTTTTCAATAGAAACAAATGGTTTCTTTGTAAATATTTTATTTCTGCGAATTTATTTGAATAGAATAAAAAAAATCCTCTTTTAGAATCTTATCTGTAGAATATAAAATCTCGAATCCTTATCTAGTCTACCTTATCTAGACTTATCTGCTATAGAAAAATGATATGTATACCTCGCACTGTTCCTCGGAATTGCGTTTGTAAATTCCATTGCACCCAATTTCTACTTTCGGCGTAGAACATAATCGAATCTTCTTATTCATTGACTTTTGATCGTTAAGGGGAGGCTTTAATTTATCTGCTTGAAGCTGAGACGTTTGGAATATCCTCTTTCCTCTGTTCAAGCCTGCAGCTAAGCTGTGTGTATCGTTATCACTGAAAGAAAGAAACAAATTTAATGTTAACATGGTCAAATATGTTCTATTACTAACAAGATATTCTTTAATTAAAAACTCAAATTAAAAACATACCTTATAGCTGTAAAGGACTTTTCTGCTGTCGTATCTACTGCGCTTGGGCCCTTGCCATTTTCACGCTGCCGTTGAGGTAAAGGCATCGCAACTCGTTTATACATTTCCAGCAGTTCGCTTCTACATAACTTTTCGAACTTGAGGATCTCAATGCAGCTCTATAATGGAAGAAGATACGGAGATGCAATTGAGATACTAAAAATACGCCTGAAAATCGAACGTACAGTCGGCCCATGTTTCTTAAATTATGACTTACAACAAATTATCATTAATTAATTAACGACTAATACATATGACCAATGTTTTTTGTCTATTTCACAGATATTTTAGAATATGTTATCTTGCTTTATAAATTGATATATAAAACATAAATTCATAAATTTATTATGAAGTGTAATATTGAATGATGTTTAACCTAAATTTTTGTCGTGCCAACATCTGCTCAAGATAACTGGATAGATAATGATTAAACACCGATGTATTCTCTAATAAAAACGTGATAAGAGAGCGGAGAAGAGCCTTGGGCGGGCGAGGAGCAGGAGTATGTAAACACGCCTAACCTATGCGACGACTTACGTTCTTCAGGATCTCGCGGAGCTGGTGCTCCGACAGCGATTCCGGGTGCGTGAGCTCGTACGCGTCCAGCCTCGACATCCCCTCGTCCACGCTTCCTCGTCGCGTCAGAAGAAGACACTGCGGATCTCGCACATGGCCCGACGGTCATCTCACACGAGCGGCGCAATTCCGTCTCGGCCGTTTTATCGGGCCGTCATTATCGCCATCCGTTATCGGACGTATCGCTACACCGCATATGGGAAAACCGGAAAACCGACAGACATTGTCGCGAATTTCCGATTAATCATCAAATAATGACGATTCACGAGGGACGGTAATAATAATACGTAATTCGCGATACACGTCACGTATTTAAGAACATTAAAATAAACGAGATATCTTTATATATATGTATATATATACAAGTTAATTTAGTTTCTTTTTCTATTTTTAATTCATACATAATTGTGGAATATTAAAATATATATTTTGCACACATCGGTGTTAATATTATACAAAAAAATTGCGAGTCAGCAACGCGAAAACTTGATACCTGAAATATTTCACGATAATTATAATTTTTCAAATTATTTTTCCAAGATATTAAATTTCAGGAATTTTAGAATTGTGATTCTCAATATTTAAATTACAACAATCTCCGATTATATCGATCTTTTCTTTATCAATTTTTGAGGATTCAAATTCCTATACACTCATATAAGAATTGCGTATATAAAAATTTTTTTAATTGCAATCAGTGCCACCTCTTAGCTAATTATGTTACCCTCATTATTGATTTTTGTCGGTAATTAATGTTGTTGATAACTCTATATAGTATTCGAATATTATACGAATATTAGCAACAGTCGAAAATCACTAATTGTTAATCCATGAGTTACCGACTTTAGCTATTATAATTGCGGCCAAAAAATTAACAATTCAAAATGATCGGGCTAACATAAATCAAACAAGAGGTGACACTTATTACAATTCTCAATGCGAAAAATGGAATCGAAAAATAAAAAATAAAAAAGAGCACTACATTTTCTATGCAGCATTTGCAGCCACCTAATCGTGCAGCGTGGTGCACGATTACCTACTCCTCGCACAGCTCGCACACGTGCGCGGTGTACAGAGCTATGCGTACGTTTTAAAAATGGCCCTTTGCAGCCGTGTTAACTCGAACACGCTTTCGTGGTTAAATCACTGTTATTGCAAAAAATTTTCGATGGGCACGAGTAGATTAAAATCACGCGGTCTCGCCGCAATATCGCCAATTTTTGTAAACCACAAGAACAATAAGCAAGGTCAGTCGCATGACGATTTCAGCGTATAACCTATAAGCTCGCAAATGATGTTATTTAGTCTTTCTTCACAGCAATTTTACCAGCCTCGTCGTAATTGTCGCGGATTCTGCGTGAATCGATACTCGTTAAATTGATCCTCCTCTCGCATCCCACCGGACTTTCCCTTATTCACGTCTTTTCACATCTTTGTCCGGCAACTTTACAGGTGCGGAATCGATGCTCGAGGCTGAAATCGCCAGGAGAAGGACTCAGGCGTGTCGAAGCTTACTGATACAAGTACAGTCGTCGAAGACGCACAACGATCTCCATGCGTATTGCTCGCGGTTTGGAAACATCTTGAGTATGCATCACTACCGGATAAACAATCAGCACGTATGTTCGGCTAATCCGTTTAATATGTTTTATCCACAGTTGCATGTAATATTAATGCATCGACATCAGTTATAAAAGTGTTATGGCTAATTTTAGAACTACATCTTGGTCGAGTTCGAAAACATCGCGTCGATAAATAAAGTTATGTCGTACGCCTCCTTCATAAACTGGGACAACATCGCTCCCGTAAAGTCGTCGGTATTATGGTTTAGTAAGGGGCAAGGTGTTAGCTCGCAGAAAAATTCGAAACAGACGTCTCTGTTTGTGGAGAATGGTTGTACGTTACTTACCGAGCAGGAGATCACAAAGTTATTATATAATACTAAATCGGTAAGCTTATTGCATGTGTTTTACAGTATTTTACAGTTGGGATTTCGATCCTGCGAAACGTTTATAGCCTTGTGTAACTAAGCAATTTTTTTTCGTTCCACAGATATCGGGGCAGATAATACTTCTCTACGACACGCTGAAATTGACCGATTTAGAAATAAGGCTGAGATTTCACACCGCTTACCACTTGGAGCAATACTTCTCCAGGCTATTTGAGAATTTGAGAGTTCTGCCATTTGGCTCCTCTATAAATGGTTTCGGAAAGAAAAGGTGTGACCTTGATTTAGTTCTTGTTCCCGACAATGAAAAAGTAAATATAGTAGTAAAATATTTGAATGAATTAAATGCTCACGTACTTGAATAAATGAAATATCAGCGAACCGTAACCGTTTTTTTACAGCATCATAATAAAAGCAGACTGGTATTTCATTCAAAGTGTCTGAAGCATAGCGATAGGAATGAAACGAAAGAGTTTTTGGGAGTACTCGCGAACACCATGTACCACTTCATCCCCGGAGTCTTTAATGTGAGGAAGATCCTGGAGGCTCGTGTACCTATAATTAAATTCCGCTACGACTACACGCATACTGAATGCGACTTAAGCGCGACAAATATGTAAGTATCTTTGTATCTCAATTTTATTTTGAATTGTAGAGTTCTTCGTATTTAAAAAAAAGATGACATATTTAAAAGACGTATTTATTATACGACAAATTTAAAAACATTTAAAAGACAATAATTATGTAAAGACATATTTAAAAAAAAACGTCAATGTCGATCTCTTTCACAGGACTGCTATATATATGACCGAATTGTTAAATTTGTACGGAGAGATAGATTGGCGTGTAAGGCCGCTTGTTATAGCGATACGGGTATGGGCGAAGAGTCAGGAAATAACATCCGACTTTCCGGGGCCATGGATAACGAATTTTGCCCTTACGTTGTTAGTGCTGTTCTACTTGCAACAGAAAAAGATATTACCGTCCTTAAGAATGTTGAAGTCGTATGCGAGTAAGTAACACATATATTGTAAATGAAAGGGTTATATAATACGTCCGCACGGTTAATAAGATAACATATCATTACTGAACATGTATCTATATCTGAACAAAAACTTATATTACTTTAAATGCCTTTTTTCACAATATTATAATTGTAATCTTTGAATATTTTTACAATTAAATTTTGATATGATAAAAAAAGCATTTAAGATTAATAAATTTTGCGTATGTGTTCAGATATAGATACATGTTCAGTAATGATACGTTTACCTGGACTACAGTTAGTAAATTCAAAATTGTATCTTTTTTCTTCTCTTGTACAGCGGAAGCTGATGTTCGTTACGCGGAGAACGGCACCAATTGCACCTTCCTGCGGAATATTGCCAAATTGCCGGCCGAATACAAGTATAATCCGAATCAGGACACTCTGGAGACACTTCTACACGGTTTCTTCGAATATTACGCGTCGTTCGATTTTCACACGTATGGAATATGCATCCGCGAGGGTACGGAGATCCGAAAACCGGAGCGCTCGGCGCTCCACATTACCAATCCCTTGGAAACGACGTTGAACGTCAGCAAAAACGTGAATCTCGTCGAGCTGAATCATATAATTGTGAAGTCGCACGACGCGCTTTACACGCTGGAGACAGCCGCCAGCAAGTCCAGGAGTGACGTCTGGGGTATCATGGCTTTATTGAAAGTAAATAGCGTTAACACAAATCCATCGAACGTAAATCCGAAGAAGTCGAGTGGCGCGAAGCAACAAACTGTCGAGAAATACTTGGAGAGTATGCCTACCTCGGGGAAGTCGAATAACGCGGAAGAACAAATTGCTGAAAAGTACTCGGAGAGTGTACCTAATGCGGAGAGCGATTCCTACGAAATTCCTGACAAATTCGAGGTTAGTGAAGCTAATATTGATGAAACAAAAACGCAGAAGAAAGAAATAGTGTGATACTCGAACGAATAGCGACAAAATATATGTACTTTAGTGCTGCAGAAATACGTACGCTGTACGTACGTTTCTGCATGAGAGAGACTTTCCTTTTTACATCAATGATTTGGTACTATCTATAGTGGTGGTGCCAGAAAATACAAAGACGTTTTATCTTAGAGAGGAAGAAAGAGAAGAAACGACGGAGAGAGAACTTTTATTGCGGTCGATTGTGTGTACTGTACTATAACGTATGTGAAAATAGAAAAGAAAATGTACATAAAATCGACAATTACGTATAAATCAATTACGTATATGAGCCTTAAAATAAATACGTGTAAAATATCACAATCCAGTTATCAGATTAATTAATTGGAAATGGTTATATTGCCGCTGTGTTAATTCTGAAAAAAAAATTACGAGTGTCGGGAGGCCGGAATGTTCTCTCGTATTTGATCCGTTGAAGCTCCCAGCTTTACGGCCTGCCTGTAAAATTCAACAAGTGGGATATCGAATGCATGTATGCTGTGTTTTTTTTTTATACATGTACATACAACCGTCAACACTTGTAAAACTGAAGCGAGCGACGAAGTTGACGCGATGCGCTTTCGAATACACGAGAAGATACGGTATATAAATCAAGAGTATATTTATTAACTTGTATATATTTTTACTATACCAGCAATTCGACATTTTCTCATACATGCTTACGTGTGTACACTCGCTATAATTAGAACGTTTCATTGTAACCCTGCTGGAGATTACAAATCCTCGCTCGTAGTTAAATTCGAAACAACGATTAACGATCGCATTGACTTTCACAAGGAAGAGCCGATTCCTCGTAATACCGATTTCTCCTTACGTCCCCTCGGTTCGGAGGTAATATTACCGTTACGTTACAGTCGATAATTGTATAATCGTGACGAGCCCGCGCGACGACGCGTCGTAGGGCGATCACACCGGATTCTCTTTTTTTTTTTTTTCCTTTCGTTAATGCAACTGGAAATTACGAGTAAACGCTCGAGTTAGGCTATTCTTCGCGAATCGAGTATCGTCGATTAAATTCGTAATTATCGCGACTGGCAGTGTTATTTGACTAGCTAAGTATTACCGTTTTTTTTTTACTCGACCGATCGAATTGCGCGACGTACTTTACTGGACTATGCATCCGACCTGTTGACGTTCAAGGGAAGAATCTCATGCGCCGGTTATTGTACACGGACATGGATTGGGAGTAGATTCCGTAATGTTTTAACGGAGAAACGAGAAGACACGGGACGAAGACCGGAGTTTTGTAATAACGAAATAATGTGCACGTTCGGAACGAAAGAGACGTTCGTCTGTATACAGTTTTTTGGATTTGCAACGTCAACCGCGGTTCTTTTGCAATTATTGTACATTGCACACGCGCGTTTTGTCTCCCAAAAAAACGTTTTTATCCTCCTTAATCAAGGCTCTACGTGTATCAACCGCCCCAGGCGGATCGCGTCATTTTAATACGAGTAGCAGACGTAACGCACAATCATACCAATCTCGTTTCCACCTCCTTAACGTCTGCATTTACAGTGGCAGCTCGATACCGATCTTCGGCGCTTTCATCATCGAAAGTGTAATTAAATCGCTATATAAAAGGTACTTCGCGAGAGAGAGAGTTGCACGCGTCGTCGTACGCGGTTACAACCCCTCGACGAGGGACACAATACAAACGTCAAAAATACGTCGGAAGAATACAAACATCACGCGTTTGATCGGGATCGCAAAGAAACCTCTCGAAAAGTAATGTAAAGAGACGAGAGCGCGCTTGTGTCAAAGAGGTGCCTATCACGATTTCTGATTTTTTTCCGTATCGCGCAGAATATAGACCTTTTTCATTATCCGTTATCATATTTATATACCCATTATTATTATTATTATACTAGTAGAATGTCCAAAATCTTCGAAAAACCGATAATGTCGGCTCTCACAACAATACGCTTCCGCTGCTAATAAATAACATGTATACTTAAGCCACTTGGGGCACGGCGTTTTTTTTTTTTAGTCTTTTGATCATTCTCTTTTTTTTCCTTTTCTTTTTTTCTCTATCTATACGCAATTATAGGCTCGCGTGGATATCTCGATTCGATACCCTCGATATATTTTTCCTTACGTAAATTCTTGCGCGCGAGGGAAGGGGGGTTGCGAAAGGACAATGAGCGAACGACAAGTTAGGCGCCTCAATTCGTTTTGCTCTTACGATGATGGCGATGATGATGTTGTAAATGATGGTGCCGCAGCTGAGAACGCGTCTCCTGTACGGCCTGCACCAAAGTGCGCACCGCCTCCTCGTGGCCCTCAAAGCTGTCCGCTTTCTTCAGCTGGCCGAGGGACGACGCGCCCGCACCCTCGCCGCCGACGCCGCGCTTGACCTTGGGCCGCGGGAAGGTCTCCCAGGAACGCTGCTTCTGCATGAGAGACGACGGCGTGCGTGATCCGATAAAAACGACCAGGGTTTTCCGGGGGTCCCGCGCGACGGATTGACCTACCGTCCCTTCGGCGATGCTCGACCGCCTGCTGTTGCCGGAGCCGGTCGTGCTCAGACTGTCGCAGCTGGCGTGCAGACTGGCACGCTGTCGCCTCCTCGCGTCCTTCCCGTCGCCGTAGAACAGCTCCTCGGGGTCGCTGGCCGGGTAGATCTTGGCGACCTTGCTGCTCGGGATCGCCCCCCGTATCTGATCGTCGGCCGGGACCGCGTGCACTTGCGCCTGCACGCGCTTCTTCGCTTCGCTCATGCTCGAGGCCTCCGAGATTCGTTGATACTCGCCGTCGTCGCCTGCTGGAAGCACGGGACTCTTTTTAGAAGAACGGTCTCATCTTCTTCGAACGCAAGCACGGGTGCACGTAAGTTCGACGCTGCGAGAGACGGCGACGAGACACTTATAACTTCGTGATGGTAAGTGTGCGATATAGATGTGGGTCAACGTATATTATCTTTCTTTAATGTACACTAATATATTTACATATATCGTATATATAAGCGTGTGCGACGAACGGTGAGCAACTTTACGTATTCCGCTCGGTCGGATGTTTATCGCCTCTAAGTCTAAACCCGAAATTTCGCCCCGGTGGACTACAAAGGAAGACCTGCGTGTCATAATGTATCAGTATTCGTTTGCCCACGACGGTCCTGCGATCCGCCCGTTCTTACCGATATGAGGCTGCGGCTGCTGCGAGTCGGGTCTTTCCGCCTGATCGAGCGCCTCGGCGGACGTGTCGCCGGTGCCGCCTTTCAAGGAACGATACAACGACCGCATCTTGCCGCCGGACGAGTGCCCGGGCGGCGTCTTCGGCTTCGTGCTGTCCGGCGACTTGCGCGAACGCCGGCTCTGACTGCGATCGCGGCCGTCCTCCCTGCCCGGCGACTTCTTACGATCGTCCTTCTGCGTCCTGGCCTTCTCGATCAATTGACTGAGCACGCCCCGCTTCGGATCGGTCGACTTGGCCGTCCCGTACACGACTATGTTGCCGCTCGAGTCCAGAACGGCGCCGACCCCGCCGGACGGCGTACGGCATCGCGTCGGAATCTCCTTTGTTTCTGTGCGTAATAATTAAATTGCCAATTAAAAATCACAGAAATATTTGACAAGCCTTCGTTATTTTATCGCGAACGCGCGACCTGAGGAACACCGACTCGCACACAAGATGCTTTCTCACCTTTCATGTATAGCGCGTTGTCGGCACTCGTGGCAGTGCTACGTGGATGACGGTGATCCTTCGTCGGTGCCTGAGCCTGCGGATGCGGTGGCTCGTGTACCTGCATACGCGCCAGATGATCCAGCAACGCTTGTAGATGCTGAGTATCGGACGCGTCCGCCGCGGCCATACTCATTTCCCCAGCGCTGATACCTAGCGAGAACGTCTTGACGAAGGGCTCCAGATTCTGAGCGAGCACTTGCAGCTTTTTCACCTCGCTCCTCAGCGACAATATGTCATTCATCTAAATAGAAATTCACGCGTATGAGAACGAATGGCAAGTAAGGCGGAGAGATGCGAGCGGCGAGTCTAACTTGGCTGGGAGAAACGTGCCTGAGAATGGAAGATCTCCTTCTCCATGTGAATCCGGCACATTTGCTCCTCCCAGAGCGCGTCGAAGACGTTCCTCAATCGCTCCAGTTCCATCTGATGCTGCTCCAATTGTTGCTCGAGCACGCGGCAATCCCTTGCCACGTGGTCGTAACGCGAACCCAACGGCGGGGTGTTAGCTCTCTTTAAAACGGAAACGTCCCGCTGCAACTCGCCCAATCGTTCCCTCACGGTCATCAACTGCTGACTCAGTTCCTTCAGCTGGGTATCGAAGGTCCTGCAGTGATTGGAGAACGGACCGCTGTCAGATCCGCTCTTCGGCGGCAGCCTCTGTGCGATCTTGCTGCTCTGTTGGGAAAACATATACCTGGCGTAAAACGCGAATGGTGCAGTGTCAACGATCTTATAATCACGTTCTACATTGAAATCTTTCAATTATCTATTTACGACTCTAGCTAATGATGTGTGAACGAATCTGCTGAACATTATTTGATATATTCTAGTTAAAGAAATACTATAGCTATATTGTACATCGAATATAAAATCCTGTTAAAAAAAAAACTTTACAGAAATACGCGCGAAAGAAAACTTGTAATACGAAAGCGAACGATAATCATGACGGAAGAACGTGTAATCGATCGTGAGATTTCTCGCTTCGCTCGTACCTGAAGCACCTGCGGTTCCGTCTGGCCTATCGTGTGGCCGGCCATCTGATCGTACAAGGACTCGGTGGTCTTCGGTATCTGCACTTGGCCTATGTAAGGATGCAGGGCACGCGCGAAGTCGACCCGATAATTCGTCTTGATGTGCGCGACGAGCAGAGGCGGCCGCGACGGATGGCCCAGCTGAGCGACGCGGCTCAGCCGTTCCAGCATCGGGTGCGCCAGCTCGAGGAACTGATACTTGCTCGCGCCGCCGGTGAACGCGGTGCACAGCGCAAGGTGCATCTGCAGGACGGGTAGCGCGTTACCCAGGGAGAGCAGCTGCGAGCGCACCAGGCGCTCCTTGGTGTCAAATTGACGCTGCAAGTCCGCGAGGACGTACGCGTGCGTTTTGTTGATCGCCTCCTGCATACCCTGGCAGAAGGCGGTTAACGCGCGCTTCTCGGACTCGAGGCTGTGCCGCAGCTCCTCCAGTTGTGACTTGAGCGCCAACACGCCGTCCCTGATGCCGGCCTGGAGCTCGCAGATGGAGTTCATCGCGCGCTCCATCTTCTTCGAGGCCTGCTGCCAGGCGTTGTCGATGTCCACGCAGTGCACCCGCGCGTCCGGCGGTGTGTCGCGGAAGCACGTGCTGCACAGCATGCACTTGGCGCTCTGGCTGAACATTATGTACTGCTCGCCGTGGGCCGGACAGCGGCGTTGAGTGTCCTTGGCGCACTTGCTCATGTGCACCACCTCGTGGGTGGAGAACATCTTCGCGCGGTGAGTATTCTCTCTGCAGTGAGTGCAAAGCGCCTGTCCTGTAAACGTACGACGTCCATTTTTATGTTTTATAAATTAACTTGATACCGCGCATGATTGAAAGACATCTCTTTACAAAACATACCACATGTTGTACAGAAATACATGGTCGATTTGTCGCGCTTGTCACAATTGGCACACGGTGGATTTTCAGAGTTTGCCAGTTCCACCAATTGGTGTATCAGCTGATCGGGGGGTGGTAGTTGCGATCCATCTTTCAATTGTGTTTGTTGCCTGTGTATGAATATTAAGTAGTGCAGTTTATCACATATTATTTATGATAAAGAAAATTATAATTTTAAAAAATATTATAACAATCGAAGGAGATAGTGATAGAAACGTTTTCACCAATCAATTTTCTTGGGACTATTAAGATAATACTAAAGTCGTATAAGTAATTCCTTAACTATACACATAAAAGACGTTGTACAAATAAAGGGGAAATTTAAATCTAAATTTGCACCAAGAAATAATAATGCTGATGCGCATGTACGTGCAGATGTGAATCGTTGGTTAAATCGTCACATGTTGTTATCTACCCGCAGATGGGACACTTAATCGTCCCGTCGATGTGCGGGCCGTGTATGCAACGGGCGCAAAAGGTGTGGAAGCAGGAGAGCAGGCAGGGCTCGTTGTAGTAATTGTGGCAGACACCGCAGGTGAGAGGATTCCTCGGCCCGCCGCCCGGCACGCCCGTCGTGCCGTCGTCACCGATCCCGTCGACCGCCGTGCCCGAGCTCGCCATCGTCGTCGCCGGCACTCGGCCACCCTGTATCGCGCCGTTAACCACGCGCGCGCGGACGACACGCGCCTTCCGCCTCACTTCACGACACCGCTCCTTGTCCCATGCTCGTGTACCCCCCTGCAGAAGAGAACGGAAACGATTTATCGGGATGCTGCGCGCGCGTGACTTACCGCGGGACGACGACATGGACAAGCGGCATCCCGAGTAGGGATACGACCGCGAGATCTAGAAACGGGAATTTGTCTTTACCCCCTAAACCGTCGGCCCGCCCGCACAGAGAGAGGAGCCCCGACCGAAGAGGGTGGTTTAACGGTTGCTGCTTGCTCGGCCCGTCATTCTGACGTAGCACGACGCGCTTTCGCGGTGACCAACCCCGTCTCTGCGCAACTGACGATCAGAGCAACTGACGTCACCGACTGGCGCCCACCGTCCCCGTTCTCACCCTCGCCACCCTCGCGCGTGCACACATATAACGACGCGTGAAAGCGGCGGGTGTGTATGTATACACCCATGTACACGCGCGTGTATACGTGCAGAGATTTGCGCGGTCGACCCGGCTCGCTCTCGCCCTCACCCTCTCGCTCCCACCCCGTTCCGCGGCCAGCACCACTCCCGCACATGTATACAATCACGTATACGTACGCGCGTACACGTACACGACGACGGAAAACTCGGGTATTGGTGCAGGAGGGTGCAGGCGAACGCCCGCCAAACAGGGTGGAGAGCAACATCGAAAAAAGAAACACATTAATCGTGGGAACTCCTTTCCCTAAGATGAAATTTTTTTTACCTATACTAAATTTTCCTCGCTGTCACGTGTGTGCGTATATAAATCTTTTCGGTTTCTCAGCCATCTATCCCTTTCCCTCCCCGTAACGGGATCTCCGAAATAAACTGGTAGAGGATCTGCGGATACATCGCGTATCTGGGGCGAGAGATTTGATCGCTGCAAAGCTGCCTTACGACACACAATGTATTCCAGAGATGTTCTCCATCTGTTCGATTTTTTCACGCACGGACTCCTCAGTAGAAATAAAAATTAATACGACAGATATACTGCCAAGAAAATAAGCAAGGCACAAATGCAAGCGAGAGAGAATTTTATAATTTAATAATCATATCTATCGTCGGCAGTTTCAAGTAAAATAATTGCATAATAGAATCACTTTTTCCCTCGTTCATAAATTCAAATAAATTGATTTGTCGATTATTACTCGTGCTTTATTAATTCGAATCGTAACGATGAAATTATCATAAAAGATGTAAACTAATTTTAGCCCATTTCATTATGCCTACCAGAGTGTTCCTTGAACGGGTCACTGGGCGCCAATTCTTCGGCCCCCTTCGCATTCTGCTGCCCGATACAATGTGCTTTTTATATTGAGCCATTGGCGCATGGTAGACCCAATTTGCCGCTGCAGGTAGAACGAATCTAAGAGCGCGATCAAGCTTTCCTTCCGCCAATCCCCGTGAGCGCTTTTTCCCCATTCAAATCTCAATTATCCACTTATCAATTATCCTTCCATTTGTCTCTCGATTCAAATTTATCCTACTTGAGTTCTGATTATTCGATTATCCAATTAAAGAGATTCGGTATTTCACGGTCTGTTCGTATCTTCCATTTCATTCTGAATATTCCTTTATATCTGGAAAAATTTTAAACTTATAATTAGTTAAGCATACAGCGATCGAATCGATAACTGTAACGACAAATTTTTCTTCAAATTGAGAAGCCAGTAAGATAAGAGGATACATTTTGAGGAAAATAATTTACAAGATCGATAGGAGAGAGAGAGAGAGCAGCTCGGAATCTTTCCGTCTTCTCGTTCATCCCACTGCACATTTTCTCTACTGCGGTTTCTCTCGGTGGAAATAATTCCTCCCGCGTCTCATTCCAGTCATAAGAATTCCGGACCTTGATGCTTTGCAATCTCTGTGTCGCGCATTTTTCTATTCATCGGTTTACGGTCAATTCACGGAGCGATGCGCCTCCATTGTCGGCGACTCTCTTACGATTTAACCGGAAACGAAACCCTTTCTTCCGCTTTCCTTACATCGCGTCACGTACGCTGCAATCATATATACACATTGATATTAAAAATCCATTAAAGTCGTGTGCAACTGAAAAAAAACTTCCGACTTTTTGTCTATTTCCAAATTTGTGCCTTGTGAAAATTATCGAGATTTAGAACGCGATTAAAAATCAATTACAATTACAAATTTAAGAGAACAAGTTTAAAATTGATAAATGCTCTCATGCAATAGGTTTGTCGTCCACTTCCGAAGATATAATTCCATCAGAATTTATTAGGAGAACCTCCTTTGATTCGCTATATCTCGATGATTCCATAAAAGCCTTTAAATATTCAAATGTATAGGACTGAAACGATATAAATTTAGAAATAAAGTTTTTTTTAATTGTTTACACATATGATTTGCGTGATAAATAGTACATTATAGTAGTACATTATTAGTGGTGCAGAGAATTGTGCGCCTGCTTACTGTGCCAAAGATCCGTGTTCAAATTCGAATGAAATCTTCTCCCCGATGATGAAATCTTCTTCGATCACTAATACCAAAAACAATAGCTATCAATAATTGGAACATAATTTGCAAATTGTTTTGAAAATGTGATTATTTAATATCAAATCAGGAATTTTTGAATTGGTATTTAAAATAATCACAACTCGAATTAATTTGCAAGTTGTGTTTAAATTATCGATAAGCTATTGTTTTTGATTTTAGTAATCGAAGAAGATTTCGAGTCGGATTTAATTCAGTTCGTGATCAAAGGAATTTTATTTTATAATCACACAATTTGCAAGTTGTGTTCGATTCGTGATCACAAGATTTTTATTTGAACTTGAATCGGATCATCTCGATTTCCTGCTGGCATCAATTTGTTTTCATCGGTCATAGCCCGCCGCGTCGCCGCGTCAGCGCCGTCAGCGGCTCGTCTCGCCAGACGCCAGTGTTTACAATTCAAAGTGGATTCGGAGGCATGGAGGATCAATAGTCTGTTCGGCGTTTATCGTTCTGCTTAATCGCGTCAATTAATTCTCTGATCGTGCCTAAGTATGCCGTCTCGCGGGGAAGACATCCTCAAGGGCTTTCAAGTGTATCCTTTTAATTTAAGAATTTAATTTAAGCGCGTTCGCTCCGCGATCGTCTAACCGTTTGTAGGTTAGAAACGAAACGTCAAACCGGACAGCTACGAACTACGTTTATTCCTTGTCGTATTCTTTGTACTTTTCATCTTTTCCCTTTCTTTCTCCATCTAATTATATATCTTTTTTATTTTAATCGTTAAAAGTATAGCAATACAGCTGCAAAAAATGAATCTTTAGAACGTTGATTTAATGACAGACTGACATCATTTAAATGGATATGCCTCCTTAATTGTACATTAGTAATTGGATGAATCTGCGGGACGCCGATAACGGGAAGATTCTCTGGCAGGGTAACGAAGACTTGTGAGTGAAGTCTGATTTTCTAAGGTACCTTATTGGTAGGAATGAGAGACTGAATCCTTGGTTCTCCTTGTCTGATTACAGATCTGTACCTGACGTGGAGCACGAGGCACGTGTGCCGAAAAAGATCTTGCGATGCCGCGCGGTCTCGAGGGAGATCAACTTCAGCTCTGCCGAACCGATGGAAAGGTTTCGCCTGGAACAGAAAGTGCTGTTCAAAGGGCGCTGCCTGGAGGAATGGTTCTTCGAATTTGGATTTGTCATTCCCAACAGCACCAACACGTGGCAGAGCCTGATCCAGGCGGCACCGGAGAGTCAAATGATGCCGGCGAATGTATTGAAGTAAGTGATAAGTACGACGTTAAGTGATTTTTTTCTCGCTCGTTCATATTATGGAATACATTTAATCGTGTATATATTTTTCTTTACGAATAGTGGCAACGTTGTAATAGAAACAAAATTCTTCGACGACGATCTCTTAGTGTCTACCAGTCGAGTCCGTCTCTTCTACGTCTAAGGCAAGATTTCCTAAACGGTCCTAATAATATCGTACGTAACGCGGGACCAATCAGTGTGAAACAGAGACTCTTATTACGAAAATGGAACAACGCACGTATGAAAAACTTCATACAAATCGAACAGTTTTCGTCCTTTGTAGCCAGACACTTATGCATACACACTACTGATATACGATATTGACAAAGCTCATAATTTTGTAGAGATATACATAATTAGATTTCACATGCAAACAAATTGATACGAAATTATAAAGTTTCGAGCAATAGCATTTTTCGAACAAAGCCTAATATTGTATCTAGAATACGTTTTTCACTTATGAGAATGTGAAGGGTGTGAGCTGCACTATTGAAGCACATAATTTATTTGTTATTTGTTAAGTATGAATAAAAGTATGCAACATAAGTTTTGTACATATTGTAATACACTACACCGCGAGCAATAAAGTTTTAAAAAAAGTTACATTTTTATGTGTGTATTTTATTTTTATAATACTACTGAATGTAATATTTATATCATTAATGAGTTTTTTTTAAATTATTGTTTGCAAAAGAAGTAGAATTAATAGCGCTAATATAATTCTTATCATGTATGAAAGATATAGATATTTTCAATCTCAACCGAGGGAAAGATTGTCTGCTGTCACGTAGAGATACGATTAGAAAATTGCAAAACGTAATTGCAAGTACGCAAAGTTGATTCGCTGCAAAGTCGACGAGAGATCTACGATTTTCTTCATCGCACGGTCGTACTATAACAGCCGTGCGCTATTGATTAGTGGTGTACAAGCAACACATTTTTTAGGCTTCACCACACCCCTTGAGGGAGTTCACTTTGAGTACACTCTGTCCCCTACTCCGCCTGTACGCGTTGTACAAGTGTAAGGAAAGGAAAAAAAAACTCTCCGAAGAAGAGGACGAGGAAACGCGCCGAGGAGTTCGCGGCCGCTCGCAGTTAGCTCGAATGCGAACGAAACTTCCTGCCGATCGAACTTCATCGTCGTATTATCGCGCGCTTCGCTTCGCGCGCGATTAATTCAATTATACTAAATTTTGCGACTTCCCTCGGGCTTCGACCGGGAGTTCTCGCGGGATGGATCTGAACGAGGAGGACGAGAGCGGTAACGAGAGCGGCAGGCAGCCGCTATTTCTGGTCGGTGCGCCGCGCGATCCGCTGGTGTCAGCCGGTGCGATCGTCGCGTCGTCGACGAGCGTGCCCGACGACGTCGGCCAGGGTGACGATCTGCAGTCGACCGCTCTGACCGGTCTGATCGGCGGCGCGCAATCCACCTCCGTCTGCTTCCCTGCAAAATTTAGTAAGTGCAACGACGGGGTGCCCGCGTGTGCCGACCCGGACACCCTGATTTAATTAACCCGCCGTCGGTATCCCAAGTTGGGGTAGAGTGTCGCTCAATTAAGTTATTGCTAAGTGCATTAAGTGGATCCGCAGTCAACCCTTTTTCTTAAATAGAGTTAGCGGTAATCAGTTTAACAGTTATGAAGCGTTTCGCCGCTCCGACGTGACCGCGGAACGTCGGCGGCGTAAAATCCGAGTGAATCGCGCTGGGAAACAGACAGGCTACTCCGATACTTCCACCCCCGATGTCCTCGTCCCGTAGTAACGTCGTGTAGAGACGACCTCGTCGGAAGGGTATTTGTCACGGCGAATAAACTGTATCTTCTTGTAGCGTATGATTTCTCGACTAGCCCGGAAAACGAAGAGAGACCGTCCTGCGTCATCGGCAAGAGGAAGCAGCGTCGGTACCGCACCACGTTTTCCAATTTTCAGCTGGAGGAGTTGGAACGTGCATTCCAGAAGACCCATTACCCCGACGTGTTCTTTCGGGAGGAGCTCGCAGTTCGTATCCAGTTGACAGAAGCTAGAGTACAAGTAATTTCCGCACGTCTCCCTAATATACAGTACAAGTGTTATATGTACCTCAAGTTATCGCGTTAAAAGAATTTCTGTCATTATACATTTCCTACCGCGAAAAACAGGTGTGGTTCCAAAATCGGCGAGCGAAATGGCGCAAGCAGGAGAAGCAATGCAAGATCGCAACTCATATGACGTCGCACTTACCACCGTCGGACTGCCAAGAGATGCAGCAGCAGCAGCAGCAACATCAGTCGCAACACTCGGATCACTTGCTACTCGAATCACCGTGCAGTCCTATATACCTCGGCATGGAATGGGCAGGTTTCTCTCCTTACAACAACGCGGACAGCGCGTCGTCTCTTATCGTGAACAACATGAACAAGCCGGAGACGGAAGCTGACAACAATCCGCTGCTCGATCCCGAATTGTTACAACTAAAGCCTCCACGTTCCTAATAATATTAAGGATATATATGTAGCATAACATATTGTTTGTAATCTGGATAATTATTCCATGCTTTCTGATTTACTAATTGTAAGTATAACAATTACGATAACTTGCAATATAATTGTAACCAGAGAATATATATATATATATATATATATTGCGCGTGACAACACGTGAAAATTCGAAGGCTGCTGCTTATCGAATAACGAATGAGAAATTTTTACGACGAAAATTAGGATTTTAACATTGACGATTGCACGAAGGTGCATAAATTATTTAAGAATGACTGTACGGGGCCTTATTATATAATATATATTAACGATCAATCATTCGTCGATAAGAAAAGCCATACCGCGATCATGTTCTCGGAGTGAAAGATGGCCGTATTGCATTTTGTAAGAGGAAAGATGTATATACAATGGATTCTCTATTTCTCAGACAAGTAGATTCTACTAAAGGAAAAGTAATAAATATTTATATTACGTATATATAAAATTACTCTCTGTTACTCCGATATAAAATAGTAACGTCAACTTTATTTAGTGTGCATTATGTTACAAGTCAGTAAATTAATTAAAGTATTTATTAATTAATTGATTGATCCTAAGAGCAAATAAGCGATCTAAGATGCTTTTCCCGATCTTTCAAATGTTGTTGAGAGTTCATTTTCCTCCACAGATTTTTCTCTTTTTCTTTTTCACAACTAATTATCCTCAAAGATTTCAAATCGTCGAAGCTAATTAGTCGATTAGCCTTGTCGAGCAGAGCTCCGCTGACTCTCGGGAGAACGTCGTTTGGAACGCATCTCAAGTGAAATAAATTAGTGACAGACGTTAAGAGGTTACGCAATGTATGAATATTCGTCCGGGCTGTTTGCCGTACGTTCGATATACTGTTTATCTATTAGAGTTTCAATGCACTTTTTAATCATTCCGATAGAAGGTGCGAAGGTAACTTTTGATTGACTCAACACCTGAAACAATAGATTACGCATTACGTTAAATACCGCTACGCGAGACAACTACTTGCGCGGCTCGTGTGTTTCTCTCGAAACTGCCAACTCACCTCCTGCATGAGCTGATTGTGCTTCAATACCTTGCGACTCTTCATGATGCGCACTATAGCTGCTTGCAAGAACATCTTCCTGTCCTCGTCCACGCTACGGTGCGTGGCCTCCGCGTCCTGCGGAGCGTCTCGCTGCAACACGCCCGTCACGCGGAACTTCGTCCTCTTGTTGGAGTAACTAAAATTGAGCGTGAGAACGGAGTCCTCCTCCAGTTCGCCGTCGTTGGACTTGTTGAGGATCTTACACTCCACAAGGCTAGCGGCGTGCTTCACCAGCTGATCGTGCGACAGACGTAACGACGCGGCCGCCTCCTTGCACAGTATCGTGTCGCAATGCTCGAAGAGCAGCAGCAACGCCATTTGATACGTTTGCACAGTGACCAAGTACGGTTTCTTCAGGTAATTGAATTTGAGCTCACCCTGGCTCAGATGGTGCAGCCACGTGAGCTTCCGGCCGCTGAACTGCATGTGATAGAACGCCTCGAATGCCTGGACGGATTTCTCCAGTTGCTGCGGAACGTGGAACGGCCCGGGCGACGGCGGTAGACCGAGCGGCCAGGCGCCGGCTTGCAGCACCTTGACCGCGAAACCGGTGCCCAATTGATTCTCGCCTTCGCCCTCCCGCAACGTCGCCGTAAACTTCGCGTTGAGATCCGCCGAGACGGACATGTCCGTGAACATGCGATGGAGCTTGTTCGTGAACTCGTAACCGCACGCCCGTTTCAGATCGTCAATCATCATCTCCTCGGCGTCCATCGACTGCGACTGCTGATGTATCAGTCGCTTCGCCAGCATACGCGAGTAGAACTTTTGGAACACGTCCTTGTCGTCCACGTACTTGAACACGGTTATGGAGCGTTTCAGTTTGTCCTCGATTTCGCTCTCGGAGGCAGCTCTGGGAGACTTTTTCAGCAGAATGTCGCAATACCTCGCGAGCTAAGATGAAAGATATATAACTTATCAATAGAAATCGTATTCCAAGTTTGAAAGTCTATCTTCTGAAGATTTACCAATTCTGGCGCTCGAACAGACTGCTTCGGGGTGGGTCTGTGATTCACAATTGCGGAGCAGGCCTTATCGAGAGCTCCTACAAAACTTTGATCTGAATTGAACACTTCCTTAATCATTTCGGAATATTTTGAATGTACATTTAACATATTCTCCACAAACTGCATATACACCTGAAATTAGAAATTCGTATGTAATTATTTTTTATTAATATACCTTATTAGTACGAATATCTAGTTTGGCTCCTTGCCCTGCATTTATTATTAATTTTAAATTTTATTTTATTTTAAATTTTAGAAATTCGTGTTTTTTTTTTTTATTAAATTGCAAAATAAATCCATATATTTATTTTAATACTTTTAAATATTCTGTTTTATTCACATTTTCTCCTTGCAAAGGTCCAATTGCCTGTAATCCTTGCGCCGTAATGTGACGAGAGAGATGCTGCACAAGTGGATCTAAACCTCCAGGCAATGACCTCAATAACGGATACAGAAGAGCCAAATCTCGTCTGCTCTCATTTTTTATCATTATCTCAGCCTCCGAATGAAGCAAATTCACGTGTGCGGCTACCATTTTGTCCTCACAACACGCTCTGACCTGCAACAGAACATTGCTGCTGTACTTATCTCGTCGTTCCACAAAATTGTTTCTAAAAACACGCACGAAAAACGATAGCGCACTTTTGCTACAGAACTCTTGTGAAGGAACTTATAAGCGCGTGCCTCCTCTTGCGCGAGTCTCCACGTTACTTTCTCTATGTAGCGCGTAACGTTCGACTGCAGCAGCAACGCTGACGCCTCCGCTGTGTAAAACTCTCCACTAGCCTCCAAAAAAGGCTCCTCGAAAATTTCTTGATACAACTGAAACACGATTTAACTTAGTAAATAACTCGGAAGGAAGAAAAGCCCTTTCCTTGTTTATATAAAAACAAAAATAAACTTATGTAATTACGTTTAGTTTTCCTTTCATCTTGTGCTCTTCCACCCGAACAAAACTTTCTATGACACCACAAATGACGTCGGTCGGCGCGAGAACTTTCGAATATCTATCGGCGTCGATGCACGCGAGCAGAAGAGTGACGAGCTTCTCCTCGAGCGGTATTATCATTTTTTTCTTCCAAATGTCCAGACCTAGCTCACCGATCTCCATCTGCTCCTGACACTCCTCCTCCCTGTTGTGCAAACTCGTGCCATAGATGAGCTCCGCCTCGGAGAGCTTCTGCTTCTTGATGTGCTGTTGATTGAGGTATAAGTACAGGCTGTGCAAGTAGTAAATGCCCTGCGAGTACTCTGTCCAGGCGCGATAATACGCCGTAAGCAGATCCCACTTGTTGTCATTGTACGAATTGACCTGCACCAGCAAATGGTCTACATGATTAACCAAAAACCTCTTTGTCTCGTCGTACAAACGGTCCGCCAGCGGCTCGGGGTACGCAACGCATAAGGAGTAAACGTCGCTGCAATCATAACACGCGCTTAATATACCCTCTTCCACTCTTGGTGAGAGACATGAAAAGAATCGTCAGATCTCATACCTAAATCTGTCGTTCCATATAGCACGCGGGATATTGGCCAACGTTATTACTCCCTTGATAGTCTCTTGCAGTACGTGCCATGTCTTATTAAAGTCCACTCTCTTGGGTTTTAGTGACATCCTTCCCTCTCCGGTTCACAGAACCACTTGGTAACTTCCGATCACAGTGACAATAGCTCACTGATTCTACGGGCAGGGGAGGAGAGAGGTACACGCTCACTGTATGCTAAAAACCTGCAAAAACAGCAAAGTCACTCGTATGACATTTACATGCGGGATCTGTATTATTATTTGTGGCATGTATTTAAAGCTTGACGACTTTGTAAAAGAACCAACGAATCACCCGGTGTTCGCAAACAAAAGCAACGCCACCCGGGAGCGCGTCCCCAGAGAACGATCATTCGGACAAGCGCGGACTGATTTTACACGGCTTTGTTCGTGTGTTTTGTACATCGTCGGTTTAAAAATAACGTAAAAGTAAAATACACCACACACGTACACGCGCGCATACACGCGTCGCTCACGGCCGTTCTAAATATCTCCCCTGTCTCCCGCCGCCGCCCCACGTAACTTTTGCGCGGCAAGATGACACTCCCTCCGTGCGAGAGAATCTTTTAAACTCTAAACGATCTCGGGGGAACTGTGTGTTGCGACATAAACACATCCAAACGTTCGAAACCTCAAAACCTCCGGAATCTAATGGCGCGTGGCCGTCACGCCGCCGCTAAGCAGAGCGGAGGCGTGCGGTGTGTACGAGCGGTGCACACGCGTTGCGAAATATCGATTCGAACAAAGGGGGACGTATTTTTTTTGTTCCTCCACGGGAAACTCGCTCGGGGAAAACGTGGCCTGAGCTCTCTCTCTCTCTCTCTTCTCGGGGATCCGTCGCGCGCGTGGGACTACACGCGTGTGCTGCCCGCCATTGGGGGGGCAGACGCACCACACACAGCTGACTGCTGCTGCATGGCTCCGGCCTAGATCCCAGATGGACCGCGCGCTCCGCGGTCGATTTAATCGAGAAGTCGGGCGCGGGTGGAACGTACGCGCGTCACCGAGGACACACACGGGGGGCTCGCGGGATCCCTTGCCCCGTCGACGACGGGGGCTGACGAAAACGTACCGGCCGTTTATTTTTGGGGCGGGGACGCGGCGAGTCACTCGCTGCTGCCGCGCTGGGACGACGATGCATGGCACTCGCGGCGACACGCCGAGCGCATTTTCCACGTAAATTCCCGTTCGCTGCTCCCCGCGCGCCTGCTCCCTTTTTCTTTTTCCCTTCCGCTCGCCGCCGATCTGCCCTCGCACGCGCGCTCGTGTGTCAATCGGTCGTCCGCTCCCTCCGCTCTACCCGCGTGTCGCAGCTTCGCACGACGGACTCGCAGTGCTCCCTCCGTGCACTCGCCCCGTCCCCCGTGCCCGCTCGCGCGTTGAATTCTCAATAACATCGCGCAGCCATGCTCTCTTCGTGCGTGTGCGCGAGCGCACACGCGCGAATCTCATTCGCTGTCATATGTATACGTAACAATTAAAAAAAATTGCTTTCCAATTTATATCGTTATCAGTCTTATACATTTATTAATTGCAGATACTTCTGCGATCAAAGTTTTTGAAAACATAATATCTCGTTAACACTCCTTCCGTTCGTTCCCCTCCATTCCCCTCTTATCTAATCGGACTTCATATAGCTTACGATTCGCGAGTACGTCTACGCTTCTATATAGTTTGCAGTTCGTGGTGTCGTGACTCGCATTTCGACGCGTCCTCACGGCGGCCGATCATCTGGGATTGACGTTTTACTCGTAAAGGTGTCAGATATTTGTACGAGAAGATGGTGAGTGTTTTGTCTGTTAAAAAATACTCCTCGCGCTCTTCTCGCATTATCTCGAGGTGGGATTTCTCCCAATTGCAACGCCAAGTCCGCGAAACAATCGTATATTTTGGTCCGCACAAAATCAGAGGTTACGTTGCTGTCAATCGTTACCCGATGATAGCGCACTTTCGCGACGAATTATATCGCGCGAGGAGACGACTGCTCCCGCGTACACGATACATCTCAATATACATTTCCTTCTTTCTCTCTTTTGTAGAGCATTCTCGCGTACAACGGCGGCGCCGTGATAGCCATGAAGGGCAAGAACTGCGTGGCGATAGCGGCCGATCGCAGATTCGGCATACAGGCGCAGACGATAACGTGCAACTTCCAGAAGATCTACGAGATGGGACCGCATCTGTACGTCAGTCTACCCGGCCTCGCCACCGACACCCAGACCGTAATGGAGAGGCTGCGCTTTCGCCTGAATCTGTACGAGCTCAAGGAGAATCGGAAGATTCATCCCAAAACGTTTACCGCCATGATCTCGAATCTCCTGTACGAGAGGAGATTCGGGCCGTACTTCGTCGAGCCTATAGTCGCCGGACTGGACCCGGTCACGTTCGAGCCGTTCATCTGCAATATGGATCTGATAGGCTCCAGAAACATGGCCGAGGACTTTGTCGTGGGTGGAACGTGTACGGAACAGCTCTACGGCATGTGTGAGTCGCTCTACGAGCCGGATCTAAAACCCGAGGAGCTGTTCGAGACCGTCAGCCAGGCTTTAGTCAATGCATTCGATCGGGACGCCATATCTGGATGGGGCGCCGTCGTTTATATCATGTAAGTATTTCATGGTAGAATTAGCACGATGGTACAATTGATACTTCTGTTAATATTAAGTTATCTGAATTAAATGCATGCGTTTTGATTTCAGAGAAGAGGATAAGGTCACGAAGAGGATGGTCAAAACGCGAATGGACTAAACACATTCACCTTTTATGTCAATATGTGCAGCATAAGTTTCGTAATAATTGTAATTAAGTCTATGAAATATAACAGGACCTTATATAAATAGCTCGTAATTATTTGAACCTCTGCTACTATTTTTGATGTCTTAAAATTTTTTAAGTTGTATGTTTTTTTTTTATATGTATGCATATTCGTTTGTATTGTACATTTTTAACTCTTTGTTTTATAATGCAGTTACATCATTTGTCGCGTCATTCCTTCATAAACTTTTATTGTTTTCTCTGGCTAAAATTATTTCTTTTAATCTGAAAATTCCTAATTTAACATAAGCGTTTCTATAATTTTATTTCATTATCAACGATTGTGGAGGGAGCGGAGGGGCGAACGTGCAAAGCGACGATGCCATCTGACGCTAAAGCTCGAAAATAAAAACTGGAGAACATGAATTAAAGCGTGTGTATGTGCTGTGTAACTGTAAATATACTTTTATTATCGGCGATAAATCTATCGCTGCAATGTCAATCAATATATTATGCGCTGCATTTCGTAAAATCGCAGTGGGTAGGATAAGTATGTACCACCGACAGCTTGTGTAATTAACCATGAAGCAATTAATCATAACCTATTAATCATAACCTATCATTGTTGTTTGCTTTATAAAAGGTGCTTTCAATTTATTTAGTGACACAAGCCGACACAAGTATCATTTTATCCTTATTACTCACTAAATGCTAAGAAGGATAGAATGACATTTACGTCCATTTGTGTCACTAACAATAAGTGGAAAGCACCCAAAGACAAGAAGCAGAAATATGTACTTATCAAACAATTACATTGTGTGTTAAGATAGAACGTTTTGTCTGTTTCAATTATTACATATTACAGGTATTTGCATGTGTGAAATACTTTGTAAATAATACATTTAACTTCTCCACTTGTATGTTTCAGGTTCCGCTGCTACTGCTGTCGCAAGACACTCGACGCAGGGATCAAATTGCGATGCAAATGCAGTTTCCCGTTTAACGTTCGACAACTGCGTACGATATAGCGCAGAATCGATACACGGCATTAAATTTATACCGGGAACACTTGGCATAGACTTTGGGATGCCGGCGAGTGGCGGTTTAGTAAGAAACATTATTGAAACCCCTGCTACGAAGATTCCTCCTCCGTTGCAAGAGCCGGCGGAGCGTTTGCCCATTCAATACGATTCTCCCGCACCTGAGAAGTCTATAGATCTACCTACGAACGGAGGAATCATGGAGAAGAAGGCGGTAAACATGATAAGGATCAGGCGTAAGAAAATGAAGAAGCACCAACGAAGGAAGCTGCGCAAGAAGATGAAATTCATATGGGCGAAGTTAAGGTTAAAGAGAAAACAGAAGAAGGAGAAACTCTTTCAAGCCGATCTAATTGCGAAGATTAAGGAGGCCGAAGCATTCGATGCCAAGGCGTATGTCAACGAGAGATTAACTATCTTGAATAAGGAGAGACTGCCAAGAACTTTTAGAGGCGAAATTTTACCTCCTGAGATGATTAAGCAATTTTTAGACGAGAAAAGAGCGAAAAAAGACGCTAAACGTAACAAACCTCGTTTGACTCTATAACTTGTATACAAGTCGTGGAAATAAAGATTTATCGGAGTGGTAATTATGTTGTTTTCGTAATTTATATTTAGAAATATAAAAATAGATCAGGACCTGAAAGGCAGTAATTCAAAAGAAACGGAGGAATTAAACGAGCAATAAATTTACTTTCTTATAAAAAATAAGTCACTTGTACAGTCATTCATTCATCAAAGCTCTCATTTATATATATATATAACGATCGCGTTAAGGCATTTCTATAGGTATACAGATGAAGTTTTTACCTTCATTATTATGATTTTAGATTGTACATGATAACGGATGACACTTGATTTACTGCGCTTCATAATAAATATATGTCTGGAAATTTTTCCGGTATTGTAAAATATTATATAGTTGTCGACATGCACGACACTTTTACGAGTTTATATATAAAATAGTCCCGTAGGATACTCTCTAAATTTCGTATTTATCTTAGGCTTCTAGCTTCCATTAACGCTGTCATTACATACGTTTACAGTTTAATACTATGATTTAATAAATAGCACCATCTTTTTTTATTCATGCGTACTCCGTTAATTAAGTCGTTAAGACATGATTGGTCTCTCGTGTTTTACATCCTCGTGAGTAAAATTGGGATGATTAAAATTTATATACTCTGCTACACTTTGTTCAAGTAATATCTTGTGTGTGGCATTTATGAAAATGTTAATAATTGCACATAGTTAATCATTTTCATGCTTTGTGAACAAATACCCGCTGCAAAGTAATAAAACATTTTATAAATAACAATACAGTATTACAACAATGTTTCCTCTTCAAGAACTGTTCTGATAATATTTTTAAAATTGTAACGAGAGTATACATCTTTTATCATATTTTGTCGTTTGTTTAAAAATATTTTTCATCCTATTTTCTAAGGTATATATTTGTCACAAAGCAAACGTCATAGAGTTTTAGAGTACTTGCCCATTTCATTGTCCTTGTAAAAGTAGATAACATTCTTAAGTCATTAACAAGTAAGCAAATGCTTTCATTTCTCCTAACTAAAGTAGATTCTTTTAAAATAAGCGCCATTGCAAAAAGTCATACGATCAAAAATGGTCCTCCTTCTCACGGTAATATCTGGCCCTTTTTTATTTCTAAAACCTTTGGCTTGTTACTTATTCTGCCGGTCGTCAGTGCGCTGCCTCTACCGGAGAAATAATCCTCGATCTCTTGTAACGTTCTACCTTTAGTTTCCGGAAGGCATATGTAGAAGTATATCGTGCCGAACAAAGAGATACAACCGTAGAGGATGAATGTACCGTGGCGAGTGATCGCGCTGGCAAGAAACGGATAAGTTTTAACTACCATGAAGACGAATGTATGCGCGCACATCGTGGTGAGACCGCCGATAATACCGCGCACTTGCACGGGATAGACCTCGCCTATCATCACCCACGGGATTACCAGGAAGCCGAGGGTGCAAGTGACCGTGTACGAGAATATGCAAACGACCGGGATCCACGTGGCGACGAGCGGCAGATCATTCGCGACCCAGTAATTTTTCAGCCACATGTACCCGCCTAATCCTAACATGGAAAGCCCACATCCGACGGAGGACACCATCGTGAGCGGTCTCCTGCCGCATTTTCTGCACAGGACGCAGGCGACGATCGTCGAGGTGAGCCTGACTATTCCCAGTATTACCGCCGCTAAGTACTTATTCATGCTCGCCCCCGAGTCCTTGAAGATCTCGACGGCGTAGAAAGTTATGACGTTGGTGCCTGACCACTGGTATATCAAGAAGTACAGAAACAGGAGGGTGAACGGTTTGAGCGCGCTGGGTTTCAGCAGGGCGCACATGATCTCCCGGAAGCCGGTGAGCCGTTTGATATTGTTCTTGTTGGAGAACTCTACCAACGTCTCCATCTCCTGATTCACGTTGTAAGTACTGCCGCGGAACTTCCGTAGCGCCTGCTTCGCCTCGTCCGGCTTGCTGCGCGATATGAGGTAGGACGGGGTCTCCGGGAAGAAGAACATCAGCAGCAGCGCGGTGAGCGGCAGGATACCGCTGATGGCGGCGCAGACGTTCCACGTAACCATACTTCCCAGGGCGTATTCTATCAGCACCCCGGTGCTGACGCCGACGCTCGAGAGCGCGGTCAGCATCCCCCGTAGATGCGGCTGCGTCACCTCGCTCGTGTAGACGCGTGCCGGCGCGCCCACCATGCCCGATCCCAGACCGACGAAGAAACGGCCGGCGTATATCATCCGTATGTCGGTCGCGAACGTGATCAGCAACCATCCGAGTAGCGCCGGGATCTCCGTGATGATGAGCGAGCGCTTCCTGCCGAACATGTCCATCATGTAGCCGGACGTCAAGCAGCCGATCGGTGTGCCGATGGAGGACATGCTAGCTGCGAGGAGAAATCCATAAAAATTAATACATTTTTTGGGGGGAGGGGGGAATAAAATCTTACAAAAAAAATATCTTGTAGAAAACTGTAGGTTTTCAAATCCTCCTAGACTACCTACCGATCCACGATTCCTCCGCCGATCCTTCCTTGATGGGAATGATGCTGTCTGGTTCCTGAAGCTGCGGCAGGGCGATGGCGGAGAAGCCGAATGCCATGCCCGTGTTAATGGTACCCAGTTGGGCAACCAGGGCAGCCAGGACTTGTCTGACGGCGCTACCTCTGAGCGTACGGCCGTCCTCAGGATTGCCGTTCGTGGCCACATCGTTCGTAGCCAGATTCGTCCTCTCGTTATTGAGCAGCGCGGACGGCTGGATTTTCGGGAGCAGCGCCGAGTCCACCAGCGAGGTCTTCTCTGGGTCTTGCACGCCGCTATTTTTTCTACAAGAGGGACATTTATATTATTAATGACCACGGGAAAAGAGCCCGAGTATATGTCCGCTACAGCTGTAGTCGTTAATTATTAGGTATGTCAATATATGTTATCTAGACGACTGAATATCGCGCACATACGCGCGCGGAAAATTAACGATGGCAGCAAGATTTTTGCATTCGCGATATCTACTATCGCAGCACTCGGATTATTTATAACGAAAGCAAGGGACAAGCGCAAGGTTACGTTTATGCAAATTACGCGGCGATTAGAAAGAAAATTCGATTACGCAAGCGTTATTTATAATTTAATTTTCGTTAAAACAACACAGCGGAGATATATCGTCGATAATAAAATGTGCGATGATGTATTACCGTAGTTGTTAGGCACGATCGACCGGCATAATATCTACACGGTCGATCGGCTCGAACGGACAATAATCTGTGCGGACAATACGTAAGATCTTTCGGCGTTCGTCATTCGTCGAAATAGTTTCTGAGGGTACGCAAGTTCGCGGTGAACTTTTTTTCTCTTCGAGGGGCGAACATCGCGCGAGAGAGCGAGCGATATAAACACTGACTCGTTAACTATTTATCGGTTCGGTGGAAAGATAACACAATTATTTTCGTTCGCCGCGGTAGATAAAGCGGCAGATGTCAAACGCTGTAAAGTATAATGCACAGAAAACTTTCCGCGCAAATCAGCGAGATAAAAAGAGATCATTTCGTCGGTCGTTCGATAATAACCGGTCGTAATGAGCCTCAAGCATCTCCTGCGCGTATAAAGTTCGTATACCGATCGTCTCGTTGCCGGTTGCAAATTTGGCTCGGATTTGATGACACTAAAATTAAATCCGACCTAAATGTTCGGCATTGTCGGTATAGGAAACGTTGTCACACAAGTGTCACAAGGGGGATATTATGATTATCTTAATAATCTCGAATCGATTTAACCAAGAATAAAAATACATAAACTTCGCGTACAAACATTCACATTTTCGTAATATAAATGTTTACGGTACACAAATATTTACAGTACACTCTCCGCTTCGAGCGCGTTTAGTAATTAAAATAATTAATTAATAGGACTAAATAATATGTAATATAATAACAGAGTCATGTTAATTTATTATGCGAGTCACGTAGAATAATATATAAAGGTGCTCGTTGAGTAGTTGATAACTGGTCTAGTTTCTAACGAAATGGAAAAATATTTTACTAAACGAATGCGCGATAAAATATTTATGCGGAATATGTATGTAGCATTTAAACATTCTGCATATGCAAACGCTGCACAATAACGTTACTGTTGCAAGGACGTAGCGCGACCTGGCCGCGGCGATCAGGAGAACGCGAAAGAAAAATCCTTTCTTCGCAAAAGAAAAACGAGAACGAGAAACGGTCGTCGGGTTTCCCGCAGTATGCGAGGTTGCGCCGCAGGATGACATAATCGCCGTGTATTATGACCTTTAAGAATGGAAGAGAGTCACGGAGCATCGATTTGGCGCGTGTACACATGTCGCTTCGTCGATCCTCGACACAACAAGGGAACCCGTTATTCCCCCCTGAATTTCGCCGATAATACTTGACTTCACACGAGGAAGCAGTATGGTAAACGAAAAAAAAGTAACGACCGTCAAAAATAGAGAGCCCGTAATCGCGGATCACCGCGAAGGCCTTATGTAAATTTGCGATAGCGATATGTACGTTTTCGCCTCTTCCGCTTTGTTTATCGACCGCGAGCAATAACTCCGTCCGTGATGCGTGACTTAACGGAAGAGAGAGGGAGAGGAGGGGAGGAGAGAGAGAGAGAGATTTCTCGTTTGTGAAAATGCATGCGTACGCGAGAAATTATTCTTTGCCGCGATTATAGAAAAGATTATACAATAGGCCAGTCGACGAACCGTTTGGCTCGTGTTGCGCAACCGCGGTGTGCGGTATCGGCCGATGCGGAGTTTTCTCTCGGTACTTTTACTCGCACCTGTGTTAACAATTACCACTGACGGACTTCGCGGAGACAGGTACTGCGAGCGACAGACGGGCGCATTAATTTGTCACTTACAGATACACACGTGGCGAATTAATTAATGAAAGTTTTCATATTCGCGCGCTTTAATCACGTATTAATAATTTCCTTCTTATCAATATAATACCCGAGAGAGTTCGAGGCGTATTTAATTTATCGGCTCCCGGTTTCTCTCTCCCCCCTCCCCTCCCCTTCCTCCAGGCACTTTATTAACTTATCAAGTTAACGACGCGCTGCGCGCCGTTCCGCGCGTGCACGCGTTCGCGACGTGACGTCGGCCGGATTATCACAAATAAAGAAGAAAGCTATTTCTGTTTCAAATGATCGCCGAAGTAAGCGTATATCGGGGATCCAGCGCGTGTTCCGGACTTCTGCTACGCGAGTCGTCCAGCCCGTTTGGACGAGGGCCAAACTTGCATACGCATGCGAATACACCGGGGTAACGTTGTTTTCGCCGCGCAGCTGCGGCCTTCGCCGATGAATTCTACCGTGCGTTTTCACGATGTCCATTCACATCGCCGGGTATCATTCGAATCCCATCAAAACAGTCGCGAACCATTGTTTTTATCTGCAGTTCTAATTACAACACGGAGGCGGACAAAGAAAAGAATTTTTTTTCCGAATGCATTCGAAGGACGCATCTTCGACGAAGCGAATTTTCAAACTCGGAGTCGAGAGAGAGAGAAATCTACAAATCAAATCTAAGCCGATGTAAGCCTACGAGCGCAGATATGAGCTACAATGCAGTCATATTCTTTATCGCTTCCAATGTTGTCCAATCAGAGAAAAGAATCTACGACATTCGAATAAATTTTTGCTCGCGAAGTGCAGTAGTATTTTATGTGATATTTCTTTCCTAGGCAGAGAGATACAGTTTTAAGATAAGTTTTCCTTTATCAGGGGAAGTATACAATTTGTCGCAATTAACGGTGGAATTTTGTCGCAAATTGACGCGATCGTCAAGTTTTACGATCTTTGTGCAACGTCTACCGGAAAGAATACCTTCTAGACGTCAGACTTGACATTCTTGTCAACAAAGAACATCTTCGCCGTCGTTCTCGGCAGACAAAGCGATCCCGAGACGATTCAACGCTTGTTGTCGGGCTGTTTCCCTCTTTGTGCTGCACCTTGACTTTGTGTCATGAAGGCCGCGCGGCGGCGGCGACCTCAAGGGTTTCATTCGTACGCGCAACCGAATTAGAACAAGCAAGAAGGATTTCGCAAGACTTTCTATCGGATGCTGGGTCTCGTGCACGCGGCCACCCCCTCGTCACGTCGGCGGAATTTTCCACGGGATCTCAAACGTTATACGTTATTTATCCCGCGAACGCGAGCAAAGCGACAACCTCGGAGATAGAGTTCACCCGTATATCCGCCAGAAAGAGAAAATAATTCACGCTCTGTGATGACTAAATAAAATCCAGAATAAATAAATATTTAATGTTTTCCGTCTCATCGGGCGCGAAGATCTTATGTCCAATAATAATTCTTACGGTTTTATATATTTCACGTTTGTGCTGTGTGAATCGCGCAACGTATAGGAAGGTGTAAGTTGAAACCCTGAGTAATATTTTCCGCAATAAATTTTTGTCGATTTTTAAAATGTTTAGTAATTATTGTACATCAAATGAAATTATATTTCCAGTATAAGATATAAGGCTGAGTAATCGGCATGCGGTTCATAAAAATGAAATATATAAAAATTATTATTATATAGGCAAATTCCGCCAAATGATAACAAATATTAATATTTATTTATTCCGCGTTTTCACATATTGATCGCTATTTACCTATTAATGCGTAACAAAATCCAGTTCCACTTGTCGTTTGATTTACAATCGGCTAATCTCTTATAACTTTCATAAAGATATAATATAAAGATATTTATATTATATAGCATTTGTTGATATTATTTGTATTTCGTGAGATAACAGAGATGTTTAAAGAGATATCGAAAGAGTTTCAGAAACTCATGCATGTTGTACTTCGGTAGAATTATGCGTGAAATATACTTATAAGTGGATAATAGACATGTGGAAAGGGACAAAGAGAAGATGAATGATCATGGAAAAAACCGCACGACGTTGTATATGTAGAACATTTGAAACATATGCTGCGCGAGAATTGAGCCTGACGACTTGGCGACGTTTTCGATTTTGAATCGAGAAAACACCGCATCGTTCCACACGGTTGCTCTATAGCAGTCGCAGATATCGACCGTTCGCGAATGCGTGAACTCGAGAGAGATTTAAAATGCTCTTTTAACTCCTGTCAAGTGATACGCGCAAATATTAATTCAGTCCGAAAATCCCCGATAAAAGTATCGGCAAGAAAACATTATTTAAAAAATTACGGAGATTATTATGCAAGGCTCAAGACTTTGTGGATAAAGGTAAAAAGATCGAGTGCAGCGCAGGTTAAGCGAGATTCGATCGACCCGACCCAAGAATTCCCTAATCTAGCCTAACACGATTCACACAGAGCGCGGTGCCAAGCGGATTCGCGAATTCTGGCACGACACCGCGCGGAATCGTTCTCGCCGCGATTATTTTCGTGTCCACCGAACCGATCCACATACCGCATCAAAGGTTCAAGGTGTAATGCGCGCACGCGTGTGCACGCCCGCGAACTGCACCTCCCCGTGAGCGTGTTGCATTCGACCGAACGAAGGAACGAACGTGTCCCTGGTATTAATAGCCTAATTACATCACGCCGCTTCAACGAAGGTAAATACGAGCGAGGAGACAGCGACTGTAAATCGTCTCGGAAAGCGGCAGCAACATTGTAACGCGTTGCGAAATACGCGCGGAGTGTGTTTGCGTCGCAAGAAACGCACCGGCGATCAATCCGGCTTCACGGGCCTCCGAGGTATCGATCGCGCACGCAGAAGGAGGCTGAAGGGAGAGAGACAGAAGAGAGAAGAGAGACGTGCTAATGCATATATTAAATATCATATGTCTCAATAACACGCGCGCGGCAGGTTCCTCGCGAGTGCGAGCAGTTTTTCCGGCGTCGCGTCGTCGCGAGGCAGTGCTTTAAAATCACCGCGCGAGCCGTCTTCACACTTCGCTCATTGATTCGTGTCGCTGAAGTTCAATGTCGCTTTATGCACCGTCGACGTGGGATTGCGTCATCGTTCGACGATAATTTCTGAATCATGACAAGACACAAAATGGAGGGAGGGCCGTGTTTGAGAAATTAGCAAGCCGGGAACTTTGATCTAGCGATAAGCGTTCTGAGAGTATCTTTCGTCGATTATCTCTCTATAGTCATCCGTCGGAAACACTTCGTGTTTCGAGGCCTCTTCACATAATACCTTCGCACCGACAGCGTGTTTCTCTATATGCTGATATGACACACCGACGAGTCACGCATTTGCGTGCAACGGCAATACGCAGATCTCACTGCGTATTATCGCCTCTAATATCCGTATCATTATTAATTTAAGCTCACGCAGGGGGAGAACGAGTGCCGTTTCTCACGAAAGAAATTCGCGCGTTATCATCGCCAAGCGACGACGGGGCGGTAGAAAACCAACGACGGGCGTCGTCATCGCCCCGGTCATATAGTTCGCGACTCACATTTTTCTGCTTCATTTACCTCGATATTACCTCGATTCCGCCGCCGTCTAATAAATCCTTTTTCCGCAAGGCCACGATCGATCATTGCGCGCAGAAAAAAAAAACCCGACGCGGAAACTTTTACGACCGTCTCTTCTTCCCAGGTGTAAAAATATCGCATCTCGCTCGTCTCCGATGCAAGCATCGATTTATTATAATTTGCCCGATTCTCGCGGAGGTAAAATGAGACGAGTTTCTTCGAAACGGTATCAATAAAGTCGAGATACGTTATGAACAAGTTCGCGTTAATAATCATCGTGCCTGCAGACTAATCTTCGGATGATGGTATATATACAGTTAAATAAATTGATATCAGTTGAACAAGCGTATCGAATCATTGTTCATTCGTCTTTCACAGTAATCTCCGGCTTATGATAACGCACGTTTTCAACCGATGGATTAATAAAGAGTGGGCGGATTCGTGTCATTAAAAGTCAATTAATGACGTATTAATCGCGTTAATGGCGTAGCCCCGACCGATGACGGCAATAATATAAACGTCGTAAACACGAGCAGCTGGCCATGCATTTCGCCGGTGTCAACCGGTGTAATATAAGGTAATATTAATAGACTAATTGCATCAGCATTGTCATTCCATATAGACATCGGCGCGTTATCAGCTACCAACAATTATTATCTTCCCAGTCTAATGCGCTTCGGCTGGCAAATTTGTCAAATGTCAAAGAGACATTCGTCCGCTCTGTTCCACCGATAAAATCGCAGTGCTAAATATATAATAATTGCTTCGCGGCGCACGTCGTAAAACGCGCGCGCTCGACGACGTGACGAGGACGGCGACAAGATGACACATCTTTTTTATATTCGATTATAGTCCGTGTGCCATGTTTCACTTTGAAGGCGAAACTCCGATGATCACGTGATCCTCATGTTAAATACATGAAAAGCTTAAAATTAGACTAGTCTGCATTAAAAAGGCATCTCCTCCCGTCTGGAGATGACGCCTTAAAGAATCCAGCTGAATTCCAATCGAAGACACATTAATCTTATTTCTTTTAACTTTCTTATAGCTTATTCTGCTGCAATCTCGATCGCGCTATACCGATCGACGAATTTTGTAAAGCTAACAAATCTACGTTTTATCTGCTTTGTTGAAAAAATATTTAATTATTCGAGATGCATTTGAAAATTTTACTGTTTTTGGCAGAAGAAAGAAAGAAAGAAAGAAAGAAAGACGTAATATGATTTCGAAGCAAAGACTGAGGATTGTAATTTTCATTGTCGCGATCCAAGCGAGCAATCTGACCATCGTAAACAAGAGCTTTCGAGATAGAATCACTTGTTGATCGCGCGTGTATATTTGTGACAATCGTCGTCGACTTTGCCCCGCGTTTCCTCACCTCTACTCATTGTCAGAACCGCGTTCGATCATTGGGATCATTCGTGTGAATCTGTGATCCCGTCCGTTTCAAATGCAGCATACAACGAGCGTGCTGAGTAATATAAAAATATATTTTTCTAGGGGGAAGAAAAATTGCTTCGTCATTTGAAATTAAAGAGTGAAGAAACCGTATCGGATTGTTAATTTCCAATCTAACGATTGTGACACAACAAGAAATATAATGCGATGCAATAAGTGTGTATATCGCAACGACGTGAATTTACGATAGAAATTCGCTTCTATCACAAAAAAATGCGTCTAATTATCTAATCGTCCTGAATATCCGGGACTTCCGTATTCCAGTTTTCCAACTCTGAGAACGCCACGTGCTGTCAGCCTGAAACGATCATGTCAAGCGTCATGTCGAAATAAACGCGCGCTTCTTTTTTAGCCGCGAGACCATGTTACTGCGTTAAAAATTCTGAGATTTTGTGGCGAGCGCGAGACTGAAAAAGGGCTTCTAAGAAACCCGGGGATGTGCGTGATGCGTCAATAACTTACTCTGCCATGGTCGCCGTTTGGTTGGCCTCTTCTATGTTGAGATGTGTACGGTACGGGTATAATGTGGTACAAGGTGTATATATATATATATATATATATATATATACTATATATCACAGTCCGCTGATCACAGTGTTGTATCACCACGTGGTACGCGGCTCATCGCCCCCTTGGGACTCTCCACCCTGCTCGGCCTTGTGGTCGTCCGCAAGTGTGCGGTTTTTTTTTTCGAGGATATCGAGGATATCCCCGAGAGCTTTATTCTCAGAGGCTGGCTAGGAGGCCGATCGTGCGTCCGATCTCGTAAAAGCCCACGAGGGTCCTCCTCCGCGTGCGATGCATCTGCCTGGTCTCCGCCGTCTTTCCCGTCGTATTCCCGATAGAGAGAGAAACTCACCCTCTGTAAATCTCTCTTCCCTTCCCTAATCGCGGCTCTCGATGAACGTCGCCGCGTGCGTTGAGAGGCGGAGTCGTGACGGCTCGAGCGAAAGTCCACTGTCTACGTTACGGCTCGCGCGGAGCGAATGTACTGACGGCAACAGGTCCCGAAAGCTTTATATGCCAAGCGGTCGCCGCGCTCGTGGAAGAGAAAGAGAGAGAGAGAAAGAGAGAGGGATCAACCGGGCCGGTCTGCGAGAGCGTGACAGCAAGGCGCATGCGGACGGGTAGCAGACGCAGAATTTCGTTTAACGGAAGAAGGTTGAGGTCGTGACATGTGTAATAGAAAAAAAAAGAGAAATAGCACGGCTCGAGCCAGCTTAATTTAACAACAAAGGAAGAATTGGTGTGATTCGCTGAATTATCCCTCGTAATTTATCGTCGCAGGAAGAAATTTTCTTCTTTTTTTTTTCGTTATTATCGACCACTCGACGGAACGAGCAATGTTTGTAATATACGGATTATATGTAAAAAAAATTAAACGTAAATAAGTTAATAAAATTAAAAAAAAAAGTGTAATAAGAAGAATGTGAATGGAAGAAGATTTGTAAAACGCAGAAAATTATAAAATATTGTAAACGCTCGCCAATAATGAACATGCGACTGGAAAAGCGCTTCTGATCACGTTAGCACATGATTATACAACGATAACGACGATGCTTGTCGATAACACAAAATAGTTTGAACTTTTTATTGTCGCAAATATCGAATTGTTTTTTATTACCACGCGTGTACGTGCTCGTCGAATTTTGTCGCGTTTCACGAAGGAGCTTAGTTATTTACGCGTGGGCGTAATCTATTGTAGGCATCGATAAGAGCCTCGGCCACGGGACGCACGGTCACACGTCTCTTTATCTGAGAAAAATAGTGCCGTATCTCACCGCGGTGCCCGCGACATGAAACGTTGTCACGATTGTTGTTCGTGAAACGTTTCCTTCATTTACGTAAAACACGATAAATCCAGCCTCGCGGATTTAGGACGTTTAATGCGCGGCGAAGTTAAACCGTGATCGCTGATAAGGGGCCGCACAAGGGCGAAAAAGAAAATACATTGGGTGACTCTCGCGCGATATCTCTCCGCTTGTACACTTGCTTATACACTTATTCGAAGTAATGCATACGGAAATTATTCGAAATAATGCGTACGGAAGGGAACAAAAGAAAAAAGGGAAACAGATATACTAGATAAACTAAATCGCTAAAGAGATAAGACATCAACAAGATGCGTTATTCTACGTGCCGTCTTATGCGTTTACGAAATCCATCATGCCTCGTCATCTCGGTAGGCGATCATTACGTAGAATCTATTCGATCATAGTAAATGCGATAGCGGCGAAAAAAATGCGTTAGAAGAAGGAAGATCGGAAATAATTGTTAAAAGTGTAAATGCAATATTTTCTAGAATAAAGAAAATTGACTCGCATATAAAAATTATTTTACGACAATTTTTGTGTAAAAATATGCGAACCAGAGCGCGATGAAATAACGATGTTATGCACTTATAAATGTGCGATAAGCTCGAATGGGAGATAATTATAATTATAACGACGAGCGATCTCTCGGAACTGCGAAGATGATTTAATATTTACTTAGCTTTGTTATTCTTGATACTCTCTACAATAAAAGAGTGAACTAGTGCACTACCATCTTGAAATTTAATTAAGCAATTAAAAAACGGAGTGCAACGTAAAAAATTCAAGACGATCCTACCAATGCATTTAATATAATTTAATGCAACAAAATATAATTGTATAATTGTATTTAATAATATAAAAATATAATTATGTAATATGTATTATAATAATACATGTATTATAATAAATATAATTATGTATTATAAATATAATGATAAAATTAAATACATTTATAATCGTACTTTAATGTTATTCAAATTGATATTAAGTTATCAAGGAGCTCATCGAGATGAGTGAAGATTAAACGTTATGTGAGAGAGTTCTGATTCGCTCCTTGTGATTTGGCCACGTTTCATCGACTATCAGTTAATATCGTTGTGTTCGACGGTCATTATCGCAAATTCGAGCATGACGAGTCGCACGCCTACGGTAAATGAAATCTGGCAGACGCGGTGAGATAACCTCGGCCTGTGCGAACACTCGGTCACGCGGATTTATGCAAACACTATACACTGTAACACTGCCGCATATACATACGTATATATATATATGTATGTGTGACGTTCGATTAGACCATACGAGTAGCGTGAGATTCTTTCTCTGGACGGAACTGAAGACACGCAGAAAAGCACGATCGTTTTTTACATTTTATATGCAGCTTTTACGTGTTTAATATATATTTAAAAATTATAGAGTATTGAGAGTAATGTAATTTTTTAGGACGTAATGTTTTAATGATATCTTGCCATAAAGAACTGAGCGATCTAAATATCTTTTGAATTTTCCGGATTTTGCTCGTTATTATTCTAACAATAAGTGTTTAATGTGTCGTAATAGTGCTAGTATTATATCACACGTACACATTTATGATATTTAATCTCTTAGAAACAAATTCGGGATACAGAGATAGCGTAACTTATATATAAATAACTGCAATAGAATTTCAACAAAACGAGGGTCTAAGCTAAAGAAATGGTTAATATAACGAAAGAAGAAGGAAGATCATTAAGAAAGAAACTCGAAATCGTTAACAAATAATATCTATATCAGGAATTGTACAGAAATATATCGTTAGCCAGAACGTACGAGGAGACGAATTGCGAACTTCGAACGTGGAATTACGTAGTATACATGGAACAACATTTGACAACACTTATCGACAGGCGTGGCCAGCTCTTATCTTATCCGAATCGAAGGCACGTGAAAATCGCAAGCGTCAATGCGCGTACGGGCGCGCCGATTCCATTTTAAATTGCGGACAATGCAGCGATCGCGACAACGACGATGACAACGTTGATAACGACGATAACCGGAGGAGGGCGGGTGAAAAAAAGAGAGTGGCATTTAAGCCTAGATATACTCACTCGAATGGCGGCGGCGGCGGCGACGATACGTCTGCCGCGCTGCTGGTGAACGTCTCGTAATTCCTGTTCCTGGACATGCCGCGCGAAGTACTGAACACGTATGTGGCCAGTCGTGGCCGATGAAATTGTTCTCAGTAGTTTATCGTGGTCACGAGTTTACCGCTATCAATCCGAGCAGTCATGTGCTCCTCCGCGTACGTCTTGTTTTCTTTAATTCCGCTTATTTTCGCGCCGGCGTTCACGTTCGTTGCACTTCGATCAGGGCACATAGTAGACCGCGTGTCGCGCGCGTTTCGCGCGGGCGCCAGAAAGACAGATCGGTATCGTTTCCCGACGGTTATCCGGACGATTTTCCGATTGTCCGGCGCTTCCCAGAAATAGAGAAATTCCTGATTCCCTGCAAAGGTCAACGATAATCACGCTCTTAATGCACACTTATCGTCATTGATTTTGTACTTTTGCCAAAATTTGAAACTTCTCCTGCAATTAAATTCAATTAACTTATAGTCTAACAATAAGACAAAGTCGAATTAAATTTTATTAAAATAAATCCCTGCTTCTTTCAGTCGCACGAGATGTCTCGAAATCTATGAGCATCTAGATACATTTCCGAAAATCTTTTTTGCAAAGTTTTATGCTCTGCGCATGCGATTGAAGCGAATTAATAAACGCGTTGCAATTCGAGAGAGAAAAAGAGCATAGAAAATAGAAGAATACAAATGATTTATTGATATTTATTTGCTCGCAAGCGTTCGCCGGCAGTCATTGTAATACGCGCCCGCACTCTTATCGGCGGCACGATGCGATTACAGACTGCATGTGACCGTCGGCGATAGATTAAGACATATTACGCAAGTAGTAAATCACATGCGGTTCACTTGGCCAACCCGGTGAACGAAACGTTTCGTAACGATAGGGCGCTTTAATCGCTTCAATCTGGTCTTCAAAAATGTTTCGTCTATGCAAAAAAAATAAATTCTTTCTCGCTTTCTGTGACTCACGTCGCGCGCGTTTTTGCATTTTTTTCATAATTCTACATGTTCGTAAATTTAAGTACACAAGAAATGCGTTCCTCTGATATGTTGTTTGCTGCAGGTCGCAATTTGTTCGCGGGCAATTTGAGATAAACTTATTGGAAGGAAACCTGTGCGATTAGATAACAAATTGAAAAAAAAGTATTAATGTATAATAATTTGAAAAAACACTTGCGAAGTCAAAGCAATTTTCAAAGTGATAAAATTTACTCTATTCACACTGCTGTGTTTCGTCACACTTCGTCACGTATGCTTCAGAAAAATTGCAAAGAAGAAAGAATTTTGCAAGAACTCGAGAACGACATTTCAGATCGCAAATTGCTATGTATCTCGTCGATAGTTTATCCGCGAATGAATCGAGGTGAATGATTCTCATTCAACGATGAATCATTCACTAACCAGCTGCAACGCTTTCGGAAGATCGAGGAGATACGCGATTAGCCGATTCTGCGAATTTATCTGCAGATATTCCACATTATCTCGTTTTCCTATTAATGGCTTATGTAACGTCTAAGTGTAAGCGATTTTATATCGATCTCCGTGTTGAGAAGTAAGATGTAACAAATTCGCGCGAATGCAGAGGTGCGCTTTGGAAACGAGAAGACGATTTCAGAACATATAGGTACGAATCCTCCTACGAGCGACTCAACGGCTTCGGGAAGAATCGACTCGCAAGAAGTTAGAGAAGCCAAGAGGAGGAGCAGTAGACGAAATTGGAGCATCTCATCGAATCTCCCCGAGTGACTCGACTCGAGCGGCTTCGAGAAGAATCGATTCCAGGGAGGCAGGAAGAGGAGCAGTCACTTTAGAGCGACGGCGATTGGTATCGTGAGTCAACGAGTAATTAATCAATTGAGAAGCTTGTTACGGTTGTCGCGTGCTATAAGTTAACTCGAGTTGACGCCCGCGGTATACGTATCTCGATACCAATTCGCATTTCCTTAGTCTTTCGGAGTATACGCTATTGCTGTTTTACGATATAATAATAAAAGAGCTATAACTTTATATCTATCTGAACATTCATTCAAGAAATAATTTAAAGACATGTTATTTTCCATTTAGCAATTGATATACACTCCGACGTCCTTCCTACGTAAGAAAAAAGATCCGCGTGATCCTCCACTCGATGTCTACTTTCACGTAGCACGTATTTTATAATGCATGAGGCACACAAGTGCGAAAAACGGCGTAGCGGATCTCGTTGGATGCGCGATCGGAAAAGTAAAAGTCTCTCCGCCTGGTCGAGCCTGAGCAATCGCCAATACGTCAATTACATATGAATGAGAACACTCGTCCGACAGGTTTTCCGAGTGGAAAAGCACCGATAATAGATTCGCGTAATCGATCGCGCGCATTCGCTTCACACAATTCACTCGTTATAAAACATTATATTCATAGAACGGAGCCGTGACCGGAGCTTGGCACGTGAAACTAAAAAAAAATATCGCTGCCTGCTGGATGATCCGCGCAATGTGCCGCGTGTACGATCATACAAAGTGCATTCGCGGCCGGCATTCGTGGACTTTGCATTCGTCAATTAATTAGGATGAACTTGACAAAGAAAATCTCTGTTCCGGTTTCCGCGCGCGATCCACTTTTTGCTGCACCGCGTGCATTATGTCATCCCTTCACGTGAGCCTACTTATGAATAACCGTCAATTAATAATAGTCACGATTTATCTTACACTCACTCGACGGCTTTCCTTAAAGAGATTAAAATTAATGTTGTATCAGGTTATCAAATATTTGAATTGGAAATAAACGTAAAAGCTGCGTGAAATACTTTTGCTATCATGATCCGTAACGTCTCTCCGACGTAACATTGACGATGCGCGATTAACAAAGGCGTAAACCTAAATGAGTGCAAGAGCAAGACCAGCGTGCGTGTGCACCCGCCGTTTTTTTTCTATGCCGCATTTATTTTTAGACAGGGACTTTTATCTCCCCGGTCGCTGCTGCTGAAGAGAGAAATTGCGAGGCGGCCGACCACGCGGTCAACGGCCCTTCGCTGTTTGCCCGCTTTGTAGGGAACAGCCAGGCGCGATCACGTATCGCATGCGTGACGATATACACGCATGGGAGCAGCCGGATCGATCATATAAGGAGCAAGAGCGAGCGAGTCGATCGCGAGATCTAATCTCCCGCGCACGTCGTCATTTTCAGCCAAACGGAATGATCGACCGACGCCGCGCTGACTCGTAACTCCGCTCTCTCGGAGCTCCGTGCCGGGAGCGGCTCGGAGTGCCTTTCCGTTTCCGAATAGTGAATCATGCATGAACATGAGCGGCAAGATATGGGAGTGTGGCCGATCGGCCGCAAGAAGGATGCGCGACAGGCGCGGACGCAAACAACGCTTATTTAACGACAATTCGCTTTAACGTTGACTTAAATACTGTCCGCTGATTGAGCGCGATTGCTCGTCGGCAAACCGATGCGTTATTTGTTATCTTTCCGCACTTTTTTCCGTGCCCATTTTTTTTGGAAAACAAAAAAAAGAGGCACGAATTTAACACAATGTGCTTTTAGCAGAAGGTATGTACAAATGTAAATGTAGCTGTATTAATTAATTTTACAATTCGTATTATTTATATATACAGTTACATTTATTTTACCAAATAACTCTTGAGATGAAGATACGTATAGACAGTCGGCACGATAAGTCGAGATAATAAGTCAAGTATTTACTCGCAATTGAAGATCACGAGAGACAAGAATATCAAAGACAAGAGAGTTGTTGCTCTCTTCCTCGCTAATAAACCGAACCGAACGAGTCACGAGATTCGATAACAATTAATTAAGGTCCCCTCGTGACAATTTGACATCGTGTCGCGTGCTCTGTGATACGCAATCACAGACTTGGCAAAACATATCTAAACAAATAGAAGTGTCGAATCCATTTTAGAAACATTCATTGCACTGGAATGACGTAGATCTTGTTGATTTCTAGGCAAATATTTGTCGGGCGCAAACGCGACAAACGCGTTAAGTTTGGACCTTTTTTGCGAGTTTATAAATACAATTCGCACGAAACAATAACCGTCTTAATGGCTTCCCCAAATACTAATAAGACGAACGAGAGTCAATATATTTCGTACGATTATTTAGGAACAATTCTCATCGGCTCTCAGCCAAAAGGATATAATTTATATGTAAATGATTTAGGCGGTTTGGGATATAATTTAATTATAGCAGCTGCGCGTTTCAAAATTTTATTATTTGCACGCTTTATTATTGAAACATTTGAAAATGAGGAAATTTGTCCACATATAAATTTCTGTCTTTTTTTTCTTCAGATAAATTTTGTTACGTATAAATTAAGTTAAATTAAAATACAGTATATACGCGAATTTGACATTCAATTCAAGAAATAGTTTTAATCGGCGTCTTTTAATAAAGAAGAAGAGAAGCAAAAACGAAAAATATTAATGAGTAGAGTTTATAATTTTAAATACAGAATCTACAGATAAATAACTGTATCATTAGAGCAATCTGTTTAACCCACTTGCATGCTATTAAGATACATATACAATCAGTTCTTTGGAATTTGTGTTGAAATTTCAGGTCAGATTCGATAAGACGACTCAATGGAAGGACAACAAGATACGAGTAGATTTATCAGTTGTTTAGAGATTATTTTTGCTACGAGATAATGTGTGTTTATGCTTTGTCTTTTTCTTCTATATCTGTAATTTAAATTTATGATTTTCATTATTTGCCTATTTTTATCCTTATTTGCTCGACGAATCGTGGTTTTGCAATAATATTAGACCGAAATTCGTTTTAAAAAATAAAGAGCATGTTTCTTTATGATTGTAAGACTGCTTCTATTCCTTTTACCGTGATTACATCCTTCATTACACACCTTGTGATTGAACTTCCACGCTTATTTTACGCCAACCACGATGACATGAGGCTCCCGTAATTGTTTAAACGCAAAAATTATATTCAAAACTCTAAGAAATTTTTATCGCTCCAATCTTATTCAATTAGGGGAAGAAAGAGAGAGAAAAGGAAAAAACAAGGTCGATTCATTTGTCACGTCCCCTTAGCCTGGTACCGTCGACGCGGAGGCTGATTTTGGCAAATATTTTTTCGTTCTCGTGATCCGCACCTGCCGACAGCAACCGCAGCTAAGTGGAAATTCACTGATGCGCGCGTGCAATTTACTGTGCGTCAATACCGACTGGTTATTTGCGGACACGAAGTAATTGAACGCGAAACCACATCGGCGCGACGCGACGGGTCCACCAGGCGACGCCGTGGGCTTGCCTTAGAGATTTGTATTGATGCTGGGTTAAATTTAAATTGACACGCAATTGTGAACCTGCATCCGTTCTCGGTATACGTTCAGTGGCGAATACAAGGGGAGAAGACGACCCCCCTCTCCCAGAGCTCTCCAAACAAATTTCGTATATTAGAAAAAGTCGGTTTAAAATGAATTGAAGAAAAAATTATCAGAGATTATTCGAGACTAAATAATGTTCAATTTTTTTTTAATAATAAAAATATTAAAAATAACATTAACGACAATAATAACTAAACATTTCGTCATATCGCCCCCCCCCCAAAACAACTCTTTAGATCCATCACTGTATACGTTCTCGATATACTTCGAAGAGGTCTTGTTTACAGATTATTTTCGATCGATTTGAAATCGGCACTTTTTGCCATCAATGATACTGAATGAAGTCCCCTGTCCCCGTCCGGAAAATCGAGAGGAAACGGAAAGTGATTAGATAACAAGGTCATGCCTTTCGATTAATTTTAATCGAATTTAGTTCGAAACTAAATGGAATTTGAATTTGACATCCTCGCTAAAACAGATTTGTTAAAACAGGTAATTGAAACAGACAGAAATAGAAATAGCGAATCGTTTATTTTTAACACAATAACATACGGTAAGCGATACGTCATTTTTCTTGCAAATAATAGTTTTTTTAACGGTGCGTCGCTAACAAGGACGATCCTAAAATTGATTAAGGAAAAAATTATTTCTCTTATCTCAGTCTATATATACATTTGATAAATTTCAGTGACGTTATTTATTAAACATGGTTTAAGAAATCGTTGCGTCAATCAAAGAGATTAGATATATCGAGATTAGTAAAAAAAAAAAAATTATAAATTGCTATTTCAGAACAATTAGAAGTCAGACGTCATTAACTGGCAATTAATATTTATGTTGTAAAGTGTAAACAAATTATTTTGATAGAAAATGAGATCTATTTCGTAAAAAAGAAATTATTGCAGAAGAGAATTTGTATAAAAATTACGATATTTTCAACGTTGTTAAATAAAATAATTTCATCAAATGGACATCTTATTAATTCGTATTAATCAGTTTGTTTCGAGGTGTTTACATTCTTGTAATATATATTATAATATCTCTACAAAAAAGAATTTTCACAAAATGTAAATTTGTGGAAGTTCTACGAATTAATACACTTAATTCCGCGAATTTATTAAACGCATATTCGATAAATAATATTTAATTATTTATTTCTTCATGTTTACTACACAAATAATCATTTATAAATAATGATATGCTAACATAAAAACTTGAATAAATAATGATTTGTCCAATTATCAAGTTAAATACGCCGAATTTAATATGATGCAATAAAACTTCATAAACATAATAATCATAAAAAGATACGGGCTTTCATTAGCGCATTAATTGCTAGCAGTCGCTTAGATAAATAAATAAAAAATTTGCTTACGTATAAGCGAATGATAGATCTGGATTCATATGTAATGTGAAATTTGAAAAATGGCAGATGGAGCGAATGGCAGAAGAGAAACAAAGTAATGCAAAAGAAAGCGCTCTGCAAAGAACAAAGAAGGGTAATATTTTCAATGTTCTCTCATATGACTTATAATAATAATTTAATTAAGATAAATATTAAGAAACGATGCCTGCAAGCCTAAAGAAAAGCAAGTGAAGAAAGTTGTGTCACGCCTTTCTTCAGGCTTGCAGGCATCGTTTTTTAAACCGCAATTAATTTGTTAATATATGTATTAATTATACTCATTAAATATACTCATTAAATCAAATTAACAAAAATTAATTGTCTAAAATTAAGTGTGCATGGGTTTTATATCGCAATCAGAATTTTAATTGGCTCTTC